GGTCGTAAATATCTCATTGAAAGCTATCGTTTTCATTTTCAGTATTTATCATAATTTGTATTTTTTTAATTTTTGTTTTTTCCATAATTTTCATTTTTTTTTATTTGTAAACAGTGTTCAGCTTAAAGGTGTTATGGATTAAAAGAATATATACTTATGTGTGAATTATTGATTTAAAATGTTGCATAATTATGGTTATAAAAGACCGCTTACCGTGATAAAATGGAATAAGTGCTAAGTCAGATTTAGTTCGAAACTGATGTGTTGAAAACAAATGAAACCATGAAATATTGAATTCGAAACCAGTAATCTATATTCCTTAAAAGTCATATGAATGTGCAGGCAATTTGTATCAAAATAAAACTATCATTAAATCGGATTACAGTTATATCAATTGATATATCTAAAATAGCACAACTATATTTACCCATTATAATCAATTTTTCCTATATGAGGAATATTTGTATACTATTGGTTACAAGAACATATGATAACTTTAAATAAATATTACCGATATTTAATTAACTATACTTAATACAAATAGATTTCGTATGAACCTTAGTAAAAATAAAATGACCATATGATCAAATAGTAGGAAACTATTGGAGGACATTTATGAAAGAGATAATCAATTTAAAAAATGTAGTAAGTAGTTAAGACCTCGGAGTAAACAACCATAATTCATATGGTATATAAAATCGCATGGTATATGACTTCTTCTTGGCCTATCATTATTCTTACATATAATTGATTTTGCGAGATCATTATATATTTTTAATGTTCCATTAAACCTTTTGGAATAATATATATAATGACCAATCCCTGAAAAAACAGCAGGAGGTATACATACTATAAGAGCTCTTAAAGTATATAAAATATCTCCTAAATTTATAAATCTAGGGAAATTAATTAATTTTAAACTTTCACATCCAGTAGTGTCTATTATAATTTGTTCATGAAATTGGTATTTATAGACTAAAGTTAAAAAATCCGGCATTTTACACGATTTACGGTATGTTAAAAGAGGTAAGGCATCTTGAATTGCAATATCCAAGCTTTTAAAACCTGTATTATTTATTATATCTAAATTTATTGGTAAACATATGATTTCTAAGAAATTCTCCGGTCGTAAACATTCTTTATTATTACATTTAAAAATATCAGTTACACTATATGTATCTTCATAACATTTTTCTATAATATAATATATTGTTGATTTGTAAGACAAACTATACAAACCATTACTAACCTTAGTTTTATAGAATAATTTTAATAATAAATCACACCTTATCTTATATGTATTATTATTAGCCCCATGCGAAACAAAATATTCTATAAACTATTTAATTATATTATTCTCAAAATTGTCAAAAAACGCTTTATATATTGTGCTATCGCAGTAGGTTTTACTGCTACTGCTTGTGATAAACTATCAATAGGACATGTATTACTTATTATATATCTATTAGATCCAAGTTTTAAAGGTCTATTTATTGTGGTAAGATTTCCATTTTTCAACATGCCTATCCTTCAATAACATGTAATATTTCAGGGCAATATGCTCAACGATGGTCATTGGACTAATAATAATACATATAAGATAAGGTGTGATTTATTATTAAAATTATTCGATAAAACTAAGGTTAGTAATGGTTTGTATAGATTGTCTTGCGAATCAACAATATATTATATTATAGAAAAATGTTAAAAAGATACATATAATGTAACGGATATTTTTAAATGTAATAATAAAGAATGTTTACGACCGGAGAATTTCTTGGAAATCATATGTTTACCAATAAATTTAGATATAATAAATAATTCAGGTTTTGAAAGTTTGGATATTACAATTCAAGATGTTTTACCTCTTTTAACATACTGTAAATCGTGTAAAATGCCGGACCCTTTATCTTTAGTCCATAAAACCAATTTCATGAACAATTATAATAGACACTACTGGATGTGAAAGTTATAAATTAATTAATTTACCTATATTTATAAATTTAGGAGATACTTTATATACTTTAAGAGCTCTTATAGTATTTATACCTCGTGCTGCTTCTTCAGGGATTGGTCATATGTTATTCCAAAAGGTTAGATGGAACATGGAAAATATATAATGATCTCTCAAAATCAATTATATGTAAGAATAATGATAGGCAAGAAGAAGTTATATGCCATGCGATTTTATATACCATATGAATTATAGTTTTTTACTCACATGTGTTAACTACTTTATACAATTTCTAAATACCTTATCTCTTTCATAAATGACCTCCAATAGTTTCCTACTGTTTGGTGCTATTTTAGATATATTAATTGATATAACTGTAATCCGATTTAATGATAGTTTTATTTGATACAAATTGCCTGAACATTCATATGACTTTTAAGGAATATAGATTACTGGTTTCGAATTCAATATTTCATGGTTTCATTTGTTTTCAACACATCAGTTTCTAACTAAATCCGACTTAGCACTTATTCCATTTTATCACAGTAAGCGGTCTTTTATAACCATAATTATGCAACATTTTAAAATCAATAATTCACATATAAATTATATATAAAGTATATATTCTTTTAATCCTTAATTCCTCTGAACTGAACACTGTTTACTAATAATGAAAAAACAGAAAATGTAAAATATAGCTTTCTGGATATTATACATGGAATGTGATATTTACGACCCAAGTATTTTAGTTATAATCGACCATGATTTTGGTACGTACCTAGCAAAGTCCTCGAGAAAGTAGGGCTAGCAAACTTTAGAGTCATTTCGCAAAACATCGCCAATCCAGCCGACGAGCCGTCAGGAACTTGGATCGGAAATAGGTCTGCTCTCACGATTTTTGACCTGCAACTACCCTCGTATAACGCCAACGAAACCAGCGATATCAAAAACATTAGTGACCAAGCCCACTAAGAGATATCCATCTTTGGATCCGAAACAATAGACACCCTCTCCCTGATCTCGGGCCTGTCCATAGAGACAACAACCTAACGATTGGATGAAGTCGCAATCAATTCCACATATCTCCTATGAAATACCCAAGACTTAAGCCGAAAAATTCCAACAATTACTAATAAAAATAAAACAGCCCCGCGCTTATAATAAATATATATCTGGATTATAACAAATTACCTTCATTTTTGTTGCCTTATCTGATTAATATATTATTATTGGCAAATATTATTATTCACCATTCCTACACTACTATATTATATAAATCTTGGGTAGGATATACTTGGCGAAATTAAATAATATATAATTTTTCTAGAAGGGCAGTGCATCCATAATTTCTGAGTAAAAATTTAACCGTGAGACATTTATTAAGCTCATTTAAAATTTATAATCACTAAATAATGGCGAAAATTGGATGTTCGTCGCTGCTCTAGATTTTGTTTTGGTGTACCGCCATTTTTTTGTTGTTGTTAACTTTTGCATTTAAATTTTAGTTATTAAACTTTTTAATGCACTTACTCTCAAAGGAGCACTAAAAAATGATAGAAGTTTCATCTTTAATGCGTCCATAATTTGTCAGGTCTAAATTTGACCCCGAAATATTTATTGTTGATAACTCACTTTCCTTTAATTTTTTTGACATTCCGTTTGAAGAAAACGGAGGATCAATTAAAGAACTAAATATTGGCCTTAACTAAAAAATGATTGCTCGGTTCATTCCGCTGGTATCTGGTTTAAAGATTTTTGAGGATCAATTAACGCACTAAATTGATTCACACTTTTTAAAAAATATTCCTCTAACTTCACGCTTTTAAAACGGTTATAATTCTGTTACGGTTAGTGATACCGATATCCGGTTTGGTGATTATTAACCTACATATTGAATACTATGCCAATCAGAACATAATATTTTATATTTTGAGTTTTGGCAAAGTGCCAACACTATCTTATTTTGCTTATAACTCAGTAGCAGTTCATTCCGCTGCTGTCCGGATAGAAGATCAATTACCGGGCTACACAACGGTATAAGTTTCGGTAATTGATCCTCAAATTGTTCCGGCAACTTCATGGACCTCCTTAATGATATCCAATTTTTAGCTACTCTAGCTTATAAAAAAAAATTCTTATTATAAGCAATACACATAAATTATATTTTGGTCATTGCTTTTACTAATATAATATTATTAAGAAATTAAATATAAAATAAAAAAAATTGTATGATTTGATACGCAATAATAAATTAAACAAAATCTTGAATCAGATTGATTTTTTTTTTGGAAAATATCAACACTGATATGGTAGTAGATATATGCAGCTCTAGACTAAATGTATTCACATAAACTACGATACTTACTATATCAAATGAAGAAATAAGTGAAATTATTTTTAATTTTTAAAAAATTTAAAAATTGCAACAATTGTAAATATAATAGAGAAAATTATAATATTATAATAATTGAGGAAAAACATAGTTTATGTCTATGAATTTATGGTAGTTTTGTAATAATAAGTTTTTAACATTTTACCTGTTTTATTTTCAGAATATAGAGCCTAGACTAAAAAAAGTTTAGGTTCTATTTCTGAATATTTTTGAATAAAATTGGTTATAGTCATTAAAATTAGAAAAGTGAGTTTTGATTTTGGTTCTTAGATTAGTGTGCTTCCAAGTAAGTGGGGGTTCTGATTTTGAATTATATTAAAGCAATGAAAAAAATTATAATTATAAAAAAAATTCTAAAATAATCACACAACATTTTGAATGTATAAATCACTATAAATTTTTGTTAGAACTGTTTTCTGTAAATTTTTGTTAGAACTGTTTTTTGGAAATTTCAAAATATGGTACACTATCTATAAATTAAGAGGGGTTCCAACTTTTTATTCTTAATATTTTTTAAGCTTGAATTATCATTTTATAGGCTAAAATTTTTATTTTTTAAACATTAATCAAAATTGTAAGCATGTAAAACTTATTCAAATCTTTTTTTATAATTCTATTTGTTATATTTAATTAATATAATATGTTACATTTTACCTTTATCTTTAAATACCCATAAGGGAATATGGAATGTTTCTCTGTTGGAAGTTAAATTTGCTTGATCTGCGCTTAAAAATGTACCAATAACAGTCATTATTAACTTATACTGTATTTAGAATCATAAATTAATGTTAAAAGTACCTCCTTTTTATTTTTAATGTTTTCTAAATCTTTTTTGACATATTCTAAATTATTATTATTTATACCAATTGATGGTGTTATATCCCTTATAGATGCATTATACACATAAATGATAGCCTTGATGTTGATGTAAAAAAAATATAACATTTTATTTTACATCAGCAAATGATAAATAATATTGAATAAATTGTTCATCCATATTCTCCTAAAAATTTTTGGTATACAATATATTTTAAACAATAAAACTAATCCTCTTGTATCATAAATATGGGTGCGATCTTTATTCCCTTTTTCATACTCAATATAGAATGGATAAATATCATCAATTGTAGGTCGATACTTAAATAATATTAAATTATATAACTATATACATATATGGCAATAAATTACATTTTTAATTTTGTCATCAAAACTGTTATTATAAAATAAGGATTCTATTAATAAAGTTTTTCCAGTTTTAGAACGCCCAAAAACAACAATTTTATAACTTTTACCCATTATAGTAGGGCATGAATGATATGATATATGGCCTAACACATGTATTTAATGAGAGCCATTTAAGATATAGTATTTTCTAAACTACGCCCGGTTTTATTAAAATGTTTTATGATATGTTTTTAGTATGTATTATCAGATGAGTTTCATAACAATCACCACCATCACGACTATCGTTACAACTATCACCAAAAAAATTATTTAGGCAACGGTTTCCTAAGATTTTTTCCAAAATATAAGCACGGAGATTTAAGATGCAATCTAATATTGAATTACAATGTGCGATACAATCAACAAAAACTATGATAGCAACACAATCCAAATCTTATAATAACAGAAGCCAAGCTCGATATTCTAACAAATCGTGAGTATTGAAGAAATTACGGATGATGGTAATGAATAAGCTTCTAAGAAGAAATTCAACTTATTGAGTTTAGACATAAACAATGTGCATGATGGCATTGACAATCACAACGCCTATAAAATTACAGTGAACAATAACAACACCAGTAGTTATGAAGATCGACCGAGGCATTAGATTTTCTATCTTACTAAGATACATAGAGTTAAAACTGGCATTAGAGTAACAAAAGAAACTGCTAAAAAGTTGGGATATGATGGCAACACGATTAAAATTATAGGTAGCTCAAGTTAAAGTAAGCTATAAAATTAACTCAAATCATGAAGGCAATCCCAATGACATATAATAATACCTAGACTGACGATTCATTCATTAAAGTACGTATGAATGCAAATCAGCTGGAGACGCCATTGACGCCATGTTGGTTACATCGATGATAAAATTTATAATATAAAAAAAATATAATGAATATCAATTAAAATATCCTTTCAAATATTCTGGATAAATTATGATTTTACAATAATATTTATAATATAAAAATATATGCTTAGCTTCAGATATATTCTTAATAATATAACATTTTTTTTTACATATAAATAAATATGTAGTATTTATTAAAGTATTATAGTATTTGTTTAATCTTCTTAAAGTCCAATTCAAAATGATTTTTATATTATTCATAATATTTATTATGATTAAAGAAATGAAATACTTATGAATTTAATATTTTAAGGAGTTATTGAATCTTATTAACTATTTAACATTTAGCAACCATACCGCAGTTATGGAGAAAATTTAAACCATTTTTACTTTTATTAGGATATCCTTACCCATGTAAAATCTTGATCTCTTGGTATTTATTTTTTCCAATTAGTTTTATTTTATTTATTATTTTTAATAAGTTTTTATCATTCCTTTTTGTAATATTCAATTTTTTATGTTTATTATATTTATTATTGATTTACTATATTTCTTAGGATAAATTCTGTATTGCAAACAAGAGATATATCGCATACAACTTGTTCTTCCTTACATTATATTATGCAGTTTATTTTATCAATAAAACAATTATCATTAATATATTTTTTTTTCAAACAGATAAAATAAAGATTAATAAAAATAAAATATGTTAAGACCTCATTTATAAAAAATGACCTTAATTTTAGATCAATTTAGCTTATTACTCTTATCTCTTTATTTTTAGAAGAATGGACATATTAATTATATGATGAAAATCAATAATTTTTCAAGATACTAAAGCCTCTAATAAGATTACATGTTGTATCATTACAAGAAATAGTTTATTATAAATTAGAAAATAGATATAATGTACCATAAATTACGAAATTCATTAATATAGCATCCATATTTTATTATAAATTAGAAAATAGATATAATGTACGATAAATTACAAAATTCATTAATATATAGCATCCATATTTAAATATATACAGTCATAATATGAATTAAAAAAGATCATGTGCCAATATATTTATTGTCCTGCGAATAGAATGGTTTTCGTCAACTTCTTATTAGCAGCCCTTAGCTTTCGTTATCCTGTAAATTGTGAAGATTTTTTATATATTTCCAATTTATTATCTATTTGTAAAAATAACATTTAGGAAATATTTTAAAAGTAATTACAGCTCCATTATTATTATTGATTAAAATTTTTTTATCACCGAGCAGATTTCTAAGTAGCTTCATCATATGGCATACATCCAATATAACATACACTTTTGGATAACTGGTAGATGTTTTCTTAAATAAAATATTATTTGTATTGTATAATAAAAAAAATATATTGCTATCCATAAAATCAAAACATATCACTGATGTATATAGTAATGTAATAAATATGGCTCACTGGGCTATTATCTCTAACAGGCTCTTCCAAGCCTTCCACTTCTAGAGTATTAATAGGTATTTCTAATTTTTTCTTAAATATTAATATTAAAATTTTTATTGATCTTTTATAAAGTAATAATATTTTACCTTTTTAGCTAAAGAGTAAATATTAGTAGCATAAGTATGATCATTTTTTTCTACATAGTTAAAACTTGTAGGAGTATTATTTGTATTCGATGGAATATTTGTTATCTTAAAAAAATATAATATTTAAAATAAATATATATTCAATATTTATACATCCTGAAGGGGTCTGGAATTAAAAATGGATGGTACAGATCCTTCCTATAGAATAGCATTCCCTGAATGTGAGGGCATAAAACATTCAGGTTTGAAATGGGCTCCACAAAGCTTTGAAAACTTATTAGGAGTGAAATTTTCCTTATTCATTGCCTTTAGCCATTTTGATAATAAAATTTCATTCATGATAGGAAATCTTAAAAAAAATAATATTAATGTCTTAAATTAAGAAAAGAATCTTATAAAATAATAAATTAAAATATATAACCTATGAAAAGAAATTTTTTTATTAGAAGTTAAGCTTGTATTCTTGCATGAAGTACAGCGACTCATATCAATCTATCTTTAAATAAAAAACGATAATTATTAATTGAAGATATATACAATTAAGGTTAATTTTAGATGTAATTTTATCAAATAAAGGTAGGGCTGGCCAATTAGATAAATATATATGGGTAGACTAGACAGATAGATAAAGTATAAATATATTATTATTTTTTTATAGTTATATTTATTTTCTTATATAATGTTAAATAAAAAAATAAAAATAATAGATATAAATTAACTATTATTATATGATATGATGAATGATAATTATCAAAAATTATATAATTTTATTTTATATTTTTATATAATTTTATTCCTTATTTAATATAAAATTATAAACTTGGGTAACCATTTCATAAAATTTTTTGTCAGCCTGGACATTTTTAAAATTTCTAAGGGAGCTGAGCAGATGTTTTCGCCACATTACACTGATGGGGACAGTGACCCGGATCCTACAATAGATAACAATCATACCCCTGTGTGCAATAACCCCAACGTTAGCCCTCAGTCAGAATCGGATATCCCTTCCTTCCTATCTGAAGACTCTGGTATACCCGAATGGTGGACAACAAGCCCCCTTTCTGACTCGCTACCATCAAGTAGCTCTGCGGACAATAGCGAAGCCCAGTCAATCATCACGGCGTTACAAGACTCTGTCTATAGCACCGATGACGAACCTGGTATGCCCCAGGAAGGAGCCTCTAACACACCTAACGTACCTGGTATCCTCGATGGTATCGTCGTCGGGGGTCCTAGAAGCACCTTTTCCGATGAACAGTTCGCCACCCGTCCTAGCCTCAACATCAGCAATGCAAGACTCACCGTAGGACCACTTATGTCGCCCTTCACTAGGAGAGTCGCTGAAAGAGGTTTTCGCCCGCGCATTGACCACCTAAAAATAAACAACAACAACAACAACATATACTTTAAACACAATATTCGCGCGGGCGTGCATAACAAATATCATGACATTGTCAGACAACTCATCGTTGCCGACGTCATAGAGCCTGCCGACGAGGATCAAATATGCTCACCATTATTCGTGATCCCAAAGGGAAACGGCGCACCACGGGTTATTAGTGATTTCTCAGAAGTATCGAAAAACTTCTTACACTACCCCTTACGGCTCAAATCAATTCCACTGATGTCAGTTAAACTCGAACAAGCGTCATACGCCTGTAAAATCGACATCAGGTCAGCCTTTTTCTCCATCCCTCTGTCCAGCAGTGTAAGGAAGTTCTTCGGCTTCAAATTTGATAACAGTAACTTCCGATACAAAGTCCTCCCCATGGGGGCATCCTTTAGTCCTTACTGCCTCCAATCCATCATCTTGGACGCCTGCGCCAAAACGGTTAGAAAGGCCAATTATAATGTCTACCTTGATGATATCCTAATCTATGGGCCCAACGAAAACGACGTTAAATGGTCGACACGATAACTATGCTGCACCCTCGAGGGATGGGGTTTACAAATAGCACCCGAAAAATCAGTTCTGGATTCTACACCTCACATTACCTTAGGAGTCCCCATCGATCTGATTAACAAAACAGTATCAGCAGATACAGGTACGAGAAGAAGACTCCACGAATGCTTGGAAGTTTTCCGGCGACACTCCTACCAACATCTGGAAATAGGGGTACAATTGGCAGATAGAGTCCTAGGGGTTGTGAACCACTATGCCTACACCAGGCATGTCCAGACTCTTTTCCCCTTACTACGTTACAATGAACAACAGACAACTAGCACCTATAGTGGACACTTTCTTAGCCTTTACCAAAGCACGATTAATTATCGACGCACTAGCTACCCCGTTACCCTTACATTACTATGCCAACTCACCTGTTTACGTCGATGCATCAAATTCCCATATGGGAATTAACTTCTGGGAACCCGACAATCTTTCAGTGGCATAAGGCCTGTCTACTATTCAATATCCCTATTCACGCGATATCCCATAGAATGGGAGCCATCATGGCCATCCACCGCAACAATGAGCATCCTATGATATTCACGGACTCTTCGGTGGCCTACTATACCTTCAAGAAAGGAGGATTACGATCGCCCTCACTGGAGATAATCATTACGCAGATCATGATCAAACTAGGATTACCTAACTTCACCGCTATATCGCAAAACATACAATGGATTCCTACAGAGGACAACCCAGCCGACCTTCCGTCAAGAACTTGGATGGCAGCCAGGGAGCAACTCAGTCTTTTCGAGGGACCTATTCACAACAAGATGATAAATCCTTATTTGTACACCAATTCAGTCGAAACACGCCATCGCTTATTTCCGGTCTCTCAGCACCCGAAGATGACGCAACTACTATATCGTATAATTGGGACCAACTATCCATCGATTCCCAAGAATTGGCCTGAAAAACTCTCAATCAAAAATCTACACAGAATAAACAAAATTAACTAAGAACGAGTCATCCCGCAATATTTATTTTATATAAATACTTATTATAACGTTAATTATATCATTGTTTATTTTTCTATTGTTTGTACTGTACATTTTTGATTGAAAATAAAGGCCTTGGGATATTGAAGCCATAAAGGCCAAGATGTCCGGTTATTTCCATGTTTTGCCTGAAAGGGCAAAACATAGCAAGGAACGGTGTCGCTGGTGGTTCGAGTTGTACCGGAGGCGGCGGTAGAGGTGCTTCTGGTACCGGCCGAAGCCTACGATAGACTAATGAAAGTTTAGGCAGGCCTCCAGCAAGATCTCCTCGAGCCCAGATGCAAGGCTAATGACAGAGACCGTCATGAGATCAAAATCGCTGAAGTGATAGAGATTCTGTCGCCGGAATCCGACATCAGAATGCTAAAGATTCAAGCCAAAAGGATTCGAGTACTAGCTTTAGCCATTCACTGGAACTGGAAAACCGCAAGGAATAACAATGCTTCCTACCAGGAGAAATTTTTATGCGGAGAAAACATCACTGTTTATCAAGACCCCGCGCCCTTTCGAGATAGGGGCCGAACAGGCACCTCCACTTCCGGTTACCGCAAACGCCCTGAAAGGAAGGACGCGGCCCCCGCCAGGGGTAAGAAAAGGAAATAAGGAACCTGTCATACCTCCGAACCCGTCTCTTTCGTCTTCCTCTTCGTTTATGGCGTCTCCAGCTGATTTGCATTTATACGTGCTTAAAAAGGCATTTTAATGAATGAATCGTCAGTCTAGGTATTATTATATGTCATTGGGCAATCCTAGTATTTAGCTAAAAGATTACCCTCTTCCTTCTATTAAAAACATCTCAATTTTTTTTTTAGTAAATATCAAAAATCCCGTTATAAAAATCAGTATCATATCATATTTAAGACAAGACTCAACAAAATTAATACGGCAAATAGTGCTCGAAACAGATAAAATAGTGAATGTTTTGACGCTTTATAAATATTTAAACTACTAAATTTGGTAACTTGAATCAAAATTCGCTATCATATATGATTATCAGCCTAATTCTTATAGGGCTGATACTAATAATTTAATTCAATTTCAAAATGATTCATTTATGAGAAATTCTTTCATGAAGGGAAGTGTTGAAATTTTTAGATCGCCATTATTGAATTTGTTAGGTATTTTAATATACATTATTCAATTTTATTTTTTAATCATAATTTCAATTAATATTTTCCTTTTATTTCGTAAAAAAATCATAATGTTGTTTGACATGAGTATAAGTTTGCTGAGAATAATAATAGCACAAAGTTTTATTTGGAAAATTATGTCTATGATTGTTTGCAATATATAGTTTCGGTTGATGATCAGCAATATCATTGTATTATAAATGTCTAAAATAATTTTTTTTATTTTTACAGCAATATATTTTATCATATTTCATCTCAAAATTAAATGGATTAGCCCCCAATAAATTTATCCTACCGCCATAAAGGCGCAGACCCCCTATTACCCTAAATAAAAGGATACAAATTGTTCCTACCCTCCTCTCCGATCATATAGGCTGCTTAAAAAAATAAACGCGTTACTTGTCACATCAGAAAAAAGAAAAGCGTTACCGTTACTCACTACCTTGTAAAAAAGTAAGGTGCGTTGCTGACTATCAAAAAATTAACGGGTCACTCGTTACTTAAAAAAGTTATATATTATATACAAAAAAATTTTTTTTACCCCTATATATATATTTTTTTTTTGTATATAATTTATAATACAAAAATAATATAGGATAAAATATTTTTGTAATAATTTTTAACAATTTTAAAATAAGCAAGAGTGCTTAGTGCAACACAGCTTTCGCTGTTCTATTCTAATCCAAATAATTGACCTCGGATTTTATACATAGGATAAGGAACTGGAGATTTGATTTAGATAATTTTATATTTTCAATTTATTTTGTTTTGGAATCCATCTGTTTTTTTTTAATATTATCATAAATTAATGTGTTTCTAAAATAATAGATATAATATTTGTTATGTATAAAAACAAGCTTGTTTTGCTAGGCTTAGTATTAGCGTTTATTATATTGTGCTTTAATTTACTCAGCATTAACAAATAAAGAAAAGAAGAGCAAAAAGAAATGTTTTTTTTTAACAGTTATTGTATAACAGCAATAGCCTTGATAAAATTCGTATACAGAAACAACTTTTAAGTACTCAGCTTATATTAGACGAGATTGACGTTATGGTCTCATCCGACTGTCCAGCCCTTTAATAACTAAAACTCTTTAAAATGAATCCCTAGACGACACAATATTCTAAAAATATATCATACCTGCAGAGGTCACATTTGCACAGCCCAGATTTTTTTAAATTTTTATATCTAATAATAACGTTTTAAATATATAGCCCATTCCAGGTATTTAAAAAATAAGTTTTAGGCCCTGCCGCCAGGGTATATTCAAAAAATTAAAATACAGCCCAGCTCGTGTACCCAGGTTTTGGGCTTGGCCTGCAGGTCTCTGATATATATAACGCCTTGCATTTTCTTTAAGAATCTATTCCAGAAATTTCAAAATGGGTTTTACTTCCTGTTCCAAATAAATTTTAAAAGGCAAATAATTTCCAAATATGTCCGTTCCGAGGGACAATTCTAGTAAAATACACAAAAAATGGATGCAGTTTTATTATATTTTATATCACGAGAAAAATATATTATAATGCATGTAAAAAATTTATATAATATTTAATTATTAAATCCCAAACCATAAAGGTATATTGGGCTTGTTCTGAATTTTCTTCTGGATATTTGAATCAAATTTTTTCAACTCTTCTTCAACTTCCTTTTGACCTTCTAATTCTTTAGGCTGAGTTTTATCTTTATCTTCGATTTTGGGAAACTGGAAGGTTTGATTAAGTCCCTAAAAAACATATTATTAAGATTAACTAATTAAAATCTTATAAAATCAAATTTTCCAGTTGATAAAATAAAATTGGCCAAAGTTTGCTTCAAATTTATAATTTTTTAGCCAATATATAAGTTTTGAAACAGTCTTTTTATAATTTACCTACCAGCTCAAAGTATATTTTGCGATCTAATAATAAATAATCATAAACTATGAGCTGGGCAAATATTTTAATAATGTCAGGCAAAGCTTGAGCCAGTGGTTCATTTTTACAATTAGTTTTAGTAAAACACTTAAAATATAATTTAAATTTCTATCCCTCACAAAGAAAATAAAGATTAAATATGTCTTTATCAGAAGTTAGCTTCAGATCTTAAATTTTAAATGTTACAGAATGAGATAATTTGAATTTCTCTGGAATTAGGTAAGAGCAATTTGTGGTTTTTATATGGGCTCCTAAGGATTAAAAAAATTATTAAAATTTCAGGTTAGACTGAAAAATTGAATTTGTAGTTCCTGATAGTTTTACTAATTTTTTTAAAAATATATAGAAATAAAGTAAAATGACATCCAATTATCTAAAATAATTTGACCCTATGTCTTAAATTTTGGGAAGAAATTTTATAAAATAATTTATAAAGTAAAAGATTTTAAGTGCTTTATATTCATAAATAGAATATAATTAGTAACATAAAATTTTCATATTGTAAAAAATAATAATTATTTACTAAAGTTATATAGGCAAATTTGATGTCAGGTCTACGAACTGGATTGCCATTGTATAGTTGCCCATACCCACCTTAAATGTATGATAAGCCAATGGACGTTTTTAACAATGATAATTTAAATCATATAATAATTATGAATAAAATAATACTCAACATTTGGATATGAAGCTGATCCCAGGTTTTAAGAAAAAAGCAAAATAAAGTAATAGTACTTTTAAAATTCTGATAATCTGCTTCTAATGAAATCTTTAAAATATAAATTACTCCTTATAGGTATTCATAAATTATCTATACTTTTGAAAAAAAAGTGGTGATTTCTAGTTATAATTATTTTTTTTATAAAAGCTAATTAAAAAGTTAAATTACAATATTTTCTAAATGATATTTATGATTAAATCTTAAAATATGTTTTTACCATCCTTTATCCTTGTACATATGCAAGCAACAGGAACATTGTAAATTTTTTCAAGATAATTTTTTATATCAAATTTACTCATGCTACAATCTAAATTTATAACAATCATATCTAAATATTACTTTAAATGAACTTCAAATTTAACAACATTTGGAGGATGTCTATAGTCTTCATGCTTTACTAATTTCATCCAGAAATTTGGTAAAAACTCATATCTTTGAGAGTCACCTTTTATAAATATACCCGCACTACATAGGAAATGTAATTAAAGTCATATTAAAATATTTACTATCTACTTGACATTTTAGGAGCGTGAGTTTGAATATTCACTGAATTTCATTCGTTCATTTGGGAAGATATTTTGACTAACGCTACAAGAGTGCACTGTATTTTCATGATTTTTATTAATTACCAAGCCCGTCAGAAATGCCATATGATAAATAATAAAAAAAATTTATGTTTTAATTCATATATCGTCTGTAGCTTAGTCAATGATTGCGTTGATCATGATTCCGATAGGCCTGTGTTCCAGCAAGGTAGTGATAAATTTTGAATTTACCGATCCGGGTGGCAATAACTTGACTAAATAATTTTACAAGTCCGTTGTTTTTGGTAAAATAATTGTAGAAAGATAAGCGATTGTGATCTTTATGTAATTTAACATTCCATGTATAAAATCCATAATCACCAGCCAGCTATCATTCTACTAGAACTTTACTCAATTTCCAATCACATGATCCAACTTAATAATTCTTGTATATCAATCCCCATGTGAGGAAGCTAATCACTACATCTCTCCCCCAACTTCTTTATCCAATCCAAAACATCCTCGTGCAGTGGCAAACCTTTGGTCGCAATGGTGTTTTGAACGGTCCTCGAGGATCCCGTTATCTCTTGGACGGCATCTCAATCATCATAATCAAATCATCGTATAATTACATATAATTAGCCTGAATATACTTCATACTTCTACATTTTCATTTAAGTTATTAGATTTAATCTTAATGGACATTTTAATTTATTCATTCCAATTTTTTTTTGTCAGGAATTATAATAAATCATTCAATATCAGAACCATTACATAATAATTCATTCATTACAACATAATTTCTTCATTGTCTAAATTCCTATCCACAATTTTATTTCAATAGTCGATTCATTAATATATTTCATTTGTTCAGGTTAATCCCATCCTCGTTGCCAATGTGTAGACATTCATGTAATCTTTAATGCAGTAAAATAAACTATTTATGTAAATAATATTGAACACATATAACCCGATAGCATTTTAACAATCCCGGATTTTTCTTTGTCTACATTCGTGACTTTGATAAATTAAAAATATTATCATACGCAAAGGATGCATGCAACTATTTTTATTTTTCCGCCAGTAAAAATTTCTTATTTTTATCAATTGAAATTCATCAACAAATTGATAAATATTATTTTTAATTATAATTTATATTTTATAAAATAAAAGCATTCATAAAATAATTTTATTATATAAATCAAATTTATCTAAAAATTAAAATTGTCTAAAAGTAGTTCCATAAATTTATAATATGTAAAGAACAGATATATTATATAGTAAATTTAATATACATTAGAGTTTTGCATTGGGCGGGGCAGGATTTTGGACCAAAAGCCCGCCCATCCAATGTTTTAAAAAAGTTTTAACCCGCTCCCCAGCCCGCCTATAGTTTCAAAAAAATATATAACCGCAAATCCCACCCATTAGTCTAAAATTTTTTACCTCCTCCCCCCCCCGCCCATTATTTATAAAAAAATTTGGCTAATAAAATTTAATTATGACCATTCTTTCAATTTTTTAAGCATCTAATAAAAATATTTCAGCATTACACCTCTACAAAAAGTTTATAATTTAGGAAATTAATTAGAATAAAAAAAATATTCAATTTAAATTATGGACAATTTACAAAATAGAATATTTATGAAATGAATATAAATATAAAATTGATATTATATGTAATTATAATGCAAAAATAACAATGAATCGACATTTTCTGGATACAAACACGTTCTTCTTTGTTCTAAAAATCTTCCAGCAATGCTAAATCCTCGTTCAGAAGAAGCACTAGTTGCAGGAATTGACAAAAATTTTTTTGCTAATCGTGATGACTTTGGCTAATCTCTTGTCGTTTCCACCAAAGTAGGATATCCGTTTGAAATATATCCTCTTCCTCAAGGAGATCCGGATGTCATGTATGCAATATATGTAACTTTTTTGAAGTGAGTTAAAAATGATAATCTGTCATTCCAAAATAAAATACCGAGCTATTTTTGTACTTGCCTTCATGCCATTCGGAATAGTAACAGAACAAAACACTATACAGTTTTATAAACGGACCTCGAGTTATTAGAAACAGATGCATATAACCAAGGATTTGGAGGTGTACTCATGCAAAAATATGATAATAGTAACGAATTTTCAATAGCTTACACCTCAAGAACTTTACAAGACGCTGAAAAGAATTATTCTACAATAGACAAAGAAGCAAAAGCAATAATAAACGGCGTAGAAAAATTTCATAACTATATGATTATGATATAATGTATAAGAATGGCTCTAACAATATAATTGCAGATGCTTTATCGCGAAATCCAATTGAGAAAAAGGATGATAGAATAACAAGCGAAAATAAAACAGTGAAATATATAAGAAATCTTACTTATGACACATTAACTCTACCAAGAAAAGAACTTAGAGAGGAAACCGCGAAAGATCCAATTTTAAGAAGAGTAAAAATATTAATAAATGGTACAAATATACAAAATCAAGCACCAGAATTATAAGCTTCTAGAATAAGAATAAATGAAATATAAAATGATGTCGGTATTTTATTTTGGAATGGCATATTATCATTCCGTACTCACTTTAGTGAAGAGTTTTACATATATTGCATAGGGGACATCCGGGTATCACATCAATGAAATCCATTCGAGACATTATATATGGTGGGAACAATTAGATAAAGATGTCGAACAACTAGTAAAGTGTTCTTCACTTAAAAAAAAACGATTGGTACAATAAAAATTGTTCTTGATCATATAATTAATTATGATTTTTCTTTAGTTTGTTTTTGAACAAAAATTTTAAATTTCCTTAACCCGCTAGCCCATTGTTTAAATTTCTTAACCTGCCCACCCACCCACCTACCCATAGTTTCAATTTTTTAACCCGCCCGCCAGCCCATTTTCGAAAATTTTTTTACCCGCCCACCCGCCCGCCTACTTAGATGGGCGGGCGTGGGCGGGCTGGCCGAAACCCCGCCCAATGCAGACCTCTAATACACATGATAAAATTTAAAAATCACAAATAAATTTCCGTTAGATGGCGTAATAGATTTAAAAATTAGATTTTAATTAAAAATACTATGTATTATAGGAGCATACTTTGCTCTGGATTAATTTATTTGGCACAAACTTATATAATCATAAAATAAAAAAATCTGAAGCTTCCATCATTATTATTGGAGTTATGATGTCCATTCTCAGTTTTGCAATTTTTTTTAGACTTCATAAAATATATTATATTTTTGACTCATTTAAATAAATGCAATGATTTATAATTGTTATTGAATCGGAAAACTAGTTTGCTTCAAATTAAATTTAGGGGCCCTTAAAAGGGCCTTTTGGTATTCAGGTCTTAAAAAAAGGCCGTTGGATATTTATGTCTAAAAAAGACGTTCGTCATAAATGTAAATAAAGATTTGATAATAAATAATAATAAAATGTTTAAACCAATTAGAAATAGCAATATTTGACAAATCTTATCAATTATAAATAAATTTATGGCCTTATTGTTTTCGTTCTTTCTGCTTTGGCTTTTGGCTCTTAGATTTTTTATACTAAAGGTTTCACTATAGCTAATTGACCACATGTTAAGGCAACTAGTTTTCTATAACTATTATATTTAAATATTTTCAACAGAATTGCCTTATGTTCAGCATCTGTCATCTCAGCCCAGCTCTGATGCATGGATGATATATCTAATACCTTTGTTAGATTATAAGGGGCCAACCAATGCAACTCACATAAGGCTCTTTCGAAATCTTTTTTCTGTATTAAAACAATATCATTTATTTTATTTATAATTATATGTAAAAAAGTTTTTATTTCCAATCAAAGATTGTTTTTAATACTTGATTTATACTTTCACAATTATTGTTGGTGTAGAGTGATAAAATCATTTTATTTTTTAAAGGTAAATACCTGCAATTTGAAAATTTTGACCTGGCAACCCTGTTCATGAAGATAAATAATTGTGAAATTAATAAAAATATTTGTTATTTGAAATTGGATCGATAATTACTATTATTTTTTAAGTATATTGTCATATTCTTTTAATAGGTATTATTTGTTTTTTTTATCAATATTATAATTTAGTCAATATTATTTCTTTTAATCGATATTATTTGTTTTTTTTATCAATATTATAATTTAGTCAATATTATTTCTTTTAATAAATATTATTTGTTTTTTATCAATATTTTTTTTTATTATTATTTATGTGGGTTATAAAAACCCTGAAAAAGAAGAATTTATTATTATTATTATTATTTTGATTATATTATATTTTCTTTATGGAAATAAAGTAAGTACATTATATCAATATCTAAGAAATTTCGAAAAATATTAAAATTTATAAAAATAAAAAATATATTATTATCGATTCTGATAATTTAGTTTCTTTTTTCCCAATAATATAATATGATTTTATAATTTCCTTCTTTTAAGAATATTGTTATCGATTCGGAGAATTCATTTTTCTTTAATATAAAAGTAAAGAATTATTATAAATAAAAATTATCTAAATAAATAAATAAAATTTAATATGGAAGAAAAAGTAATCGATAAATTTATTATAGGTAAAATATAACGCTCATAATAAAATATTAAAATTATAAATAAATTTCCGTTAGATGGCGTAATAAAAATTTAGTTTTTAATTAAAAATAATATGAATTATAGGAACATAATTTTTTGCTCTGGATTAATTAAAAAAAATTTGAAATTTCCATCATTATTTTTGGAGTTATGATGTCTATTCCCCCATTCTTAATTTAGTAATTTTTTTAAAAGATTTTTAAATAATATATAATTTTTTAAACTTCTTTTGTGTAAAATAACTTATATAAACATATAACAAAAAGAAATTTAAAGTTTCCACCATTATTTTTGAGTTATGATGTCCATTTTCCCATTCTTAGTTTATCTTTTGTGTAAAATAACTTATATAAACATAAAAAAAAAGAAATTTGAAGTTTCCACCAGTATTTTTGAAGTTATAATGTCCATTTTCCCATTCTTAGTTTAGTCATTTTTTTTTTGGGGGGGTTTAAAAAAAATACATTATTTTTTTTAACTTCTTTTGTGTGAACAAACTTATATAAACAAATAATAATAAAAATTTTAAATTTCCATCATTATTTTTGGAGTTAAAATGTCCATTCTCAGGTTAGTCATTTTTTTTTAGATTTTTGGATTAAAAAAAAATTTTTTTTTGACTCATTTTCTGTAAACTAACTATAAAACGAAATTTTTTTTTCAAGTTTCCATCATTATTTTTAGAATTATGATGTACATTCTTTGATTTTTATACTTCATAAAATATATTATATTTTTGACTCATTTAAAATAAATGCAATGATTTATAATTGATATTAAATCGGAAAACAAGTTTTCTTCAAATATAATTTAGGGGGGCTTAAAAGGGCCCTTGGGTATTCATTGTCATTGGTCTTAAAAAAAGGCCGTTCGGTATTAATGTCTTAAAAAAATAAGTTCGTTATATAAATAAAGATATAATAAAATGTTTAAACCAGTTAGGAATAGCAATATTTCACAAATCTTATCAATTATAATTTTATAAAAAAGAATTAAAATGAATAGAAACTCATTATAAAGTTTCATAACAAGATAAGAATTAATCTTAATATGAATTATTTGTAAAAGCTAGGGGGATCGATAATTGTTAAAAATATAAATTATTTTTTATAAATATAAGGAAAATTATTTAATTAATTATTGGGTGTATTAACTGTTGGAAATTAAATATTTACAATAAAAAAAACAAATATATTTATTGCCTTATTGTTTTCGTCATTTCCTCTTTGGCTTGATTATATTGATCCTAGATTTCACTATAGCTAATTGACCACATGTTGAGGTAATTAATTTTCCATCACTATTTTCTTTAAGTATTTTCAAAAGAATTGCCTTATGTTCAACATCTGTCATCTCAGCCAAGCTCTGATGTATGGATGATATATCTAATACCTTTATTAGATACCCCCCCCCCCTATATGGTTCTTTCGAAATCTTTTTTCTGTATTAAAACAATATCATTTATTTTATTTATAATTATATGTATAAAAGTTTTTTTCCAAATCAAAGATTTTTTAATACTTGATTTATACTTTCACAATTATTGTTGGTGTAGAGTGATAAAATTATATTATTTTTTTAAGGTATACCATATTATATAATTTATCTATTAAATGATTATCCAAATATTTTTTACAAATTTTGTATAATTTTTATTTAGCGAAATTGTTTTAAATTAGCAATATTTTTTTTAAAGATCTCATCGGTTAATGAAAATATTATTCATTCCATCTCTATTGAAAATAAAATTTAAAATAATTTTTCCAATTATTATTTCAACTCCTTTATTATTTAAAAAATATATTAAATTTTCTTTTTATGTGTTTAGTGTATAAAAGATGTGTTGAATTTATACAATTTCTACGCAAGGCCGATACCATCCCCAATTCTCCGTCACTCCCATAAATTAAATTTCTAATGAGTATACGATTGCAAAGAATTATGCTCCTATAATTCATAGAATTTTTAATTTAAAAATAAATCGTTTGCGCCATCTAACGGAAATTTAATTATGATTTTATAATTTTATTATACGTGTTAATATTTTTTTATATAATATATCTATTCTATACATATTATAAATTTATTGACTACTTTTTTCTTCCATATTGTATTTTTATTTATTTAGAATTTTTATTGTAATATTCAGTTACAAAAAAATCTATTATTCAAATTGTGATAATATAGAGGTGGGCGCGGGTCATGAAATAACGCGTGACACATCCTCTGTGAATAAATTTTAGGCGTGAAGGACCTTCCCAGTGAACATAAATTTCCCGTGAATCACGGAAATTTAAATTTTTAAAATTGTTTCTTTATAAATTTGCAATTTTATTAGATATAGTATATATTTTCTAATTTAATTTAATTCCTCTTTTAAAAAAGAATAATTTTTGAAAACAAAAAATCTTCCGCATTTTGTAAACAACATCCGGTAATCGTGCCACATTTTCTTTTTATGTTTAGGTGTTTTATCGCGAGACTTTTTGCTAAATTTTGCTTAAACTTTTTACAGAAAAGTCAGTTATATTTTATTTAAAAATAGATATACTCGTGATTCGGAAAACTCTCATGAATACTATAGCTCCAAAAATATACGATGAAATTAAGATTAAAAGCATGATCAATAATAATTACTTGTCCATAACCACTGATTTTTGGAAGAATGATTATAAAAATCGAAGTTTTTTAATCATTACAGGACATATTATCATTAAGGATTTTGAATTAAAAACATTTATTTTGGCCATAAGGGAAATGAAAACTGGCGACAATATTAAAAGTTAGTCAATTCAATTTTAGAAGAATACAGAGAAGTAGAAAATTATTTATGTATAGTTGTGCGACTGATAACAGAGCAAAAAGTGTATTCAAAGATGAGGAAACGCTAACATGTACATGCTATATACTAAATAATATTATGCATTATATTTTTAATAATTGTTTAACTGAAATAGCCTTAAAAATAAATGGTGCAAAAAAATAGTACAATATTTCAAACAATCTACAGCTAATAGCAAGCTAAGCCACAACCTTAAACAAGATGTAACTCTGTATATATCATGATACAGAGTTTCTTAAAATCATATTTTGAAATACAGATGTACTTGTTTAGCAAGCAAGAATTAAATAGATTAGCTTCAATTGATATCAACATCATGCGAGTTAGATAAATTTTTATCAATATTTAAAGAATGCTCGGATAATCTGAGAGCAAATTCTCGTCCCTTAATAAATGAAGTTTGTAAATTTTTGATAATTTTCTGAACGTGTTACAATAATAATCAAAACTTTAAAATACAGAACAAGATTTCGTTGAAAAGATTATTATGCAGCCCCTACATAAGGTAGGCTTAATTGATCCGAATTTCAAAAGACTTAAGTTTTTAATAAAAGATAAAAAAAGATGATATATAAAACAATCTTAAAAATGCTAAATGATATAAAATTAGATGATATGCATAAATCGATGCCAACTATCATTTATAACTTTCCTAACTTATCCTAAACTCAAAGACCGTATATTCTAAATGAAAAATTTAGAGAATTCTAGATGATTCTAAAGCATCTGAGGATGAACTTAAAATATTCATATAAGATAAATAACAAGACAATATTTTGAAGTTTTGGAAGCAAGAATATTCATCCTTTTTTGAGAAAATTAGCGAGAACAATTTTGTCAGCTCCTGCAAGTTCGGCTTCTAGTGAAAGGTTACTTTTGTAGCCAATCTCTTACTAAAGGAAAGGTGTACACAATTGAAATAAAAAAAGATACATTCTTCTTTTTCTAAATAAATTTCGATTTATAGATTGTATTAATTTTTTATTATGAAATTAGAGAAATAAATAGAATGAATTTAAAAAAGTGTAAAATTAGAGCAATAATTTTGAAAAATTTAAAACACCGTGAATTTTCGGGAATGATGGGCGTGAATCAAAATATTGCTTTTCATGAGAGGGCGGGTCGAAATTTTTTTAGTGGTAAGCATGAATGGGCGTGAATTTTTTTATAGCCACCGCGAGCAGGGGGTCGTGAATGTAAAATTAGGCCCGCGTCTACCTCTAATTGCAACAACATTAATCTGCGTGTTAAAATGATTGACCAATTATAATAAACATATGAAATCATTAATAATCCATATTTTGAAAAAATAAAGAACACTTATGGGAGAGTCCTAGTAAAAACCAATAAATTATTGATCTTTCATCGTTCGTAAATATTAATGTGGAACTGGTAATCTTAACTCGAATCGATATTCTAAGATGAAAGTATTTTTAACCAAATTTACGTATGTTATTTATCAAGATTTTTCTTAAAAAATAGATACATCATGACTGGCCATGATGCCTTAGGACTTATTTCGATTTTTAGATTTAAATATTATGGTTAACTTTAAATCGATAACCTTTCGTAAATGAGGTTTAAATAATCGTAACTATAATGGAATTTTTATTCAATAACGATTTTGTTATAAATGTAATATTTTATAGTAAAGTAAGGGTATTTTTATATTAATCGTGGTTTTTATTGAGCAATATCAATAATTTTATTAAATCAATATGAACAATAATATCAAATAAGTTTATTCATCCTCCATTGAATTTATCTCCTCATTACCAACATCGTTGTCTTCATCGCATTTATCAATTTGGAACTCCTTGCTCCAGCCTTGAACTATTATAGCGCATTCGTTATTAAGAATTCCCTCATCTTTGGGGATAAGTGGAACTGGAGTGGAATACTTAATTTTACCCCTAAATTAAAATATTATTTTATGGTTAAAACAAAATTTTGTAAAAATAAAAAACATTCTTAATAAAATTTTTCCTCAAACATTCATAAACTAGAGTTGTCAAAGGGCTAACCCTATATTTTAGCCTCGCAATCCTTGGAGATTTTGCTCATAGGTGGTAGAAAAGTTAGGACATCTATTAACGAAATCACGAGGTTTGCGTAGTTTTGGCTAAAATCTTTATCTAAAATGTGCTAAATATAGCCTTTTAACAACACCACCAGTAAATATAGAATGTCGGCCAATTCGGTTCAATCTACTGCTGGAGAAAATCCTTTAACATTAACGATTTATATTAGTTTCTTTCAAATATGAGCTGCGATTATTTTTAAGAAAAACCTCGAGAGGCTAAAAAAAATACTCGGTTTAGCAAGCCAAAAAACCAGGTTTATCCGGCTAAAAATATAGTAATTACTAGTGTTGTTAAACGGCTTGTTTTGAGCCGATTTTTAAAAACGGCTAACTCAATATTTCATCCAGAATAGTATTACGCAAGTCTGAAGATTTTGTTTACAGAAGGAACAAAGGTTTGGAAATCTATTAGCGAAATCTCGAGGCTTGGGCAATATTTTTATGGCTAAAATATTGAGTTAGCAGTTTTAAAAAATCGGCTCAAAACGAGCCGGCTAAAAATATAGTAATTACACAACTATGCTACTATTAAACAATAGAAATGCCCGTCACTCTTTCTTTTATAGCGAAAAGAAAGGTTAAACAGAATTTAGGGTTGAGAAAATCTAAAACAAAAAAAATATAACTATTTTGACCTCTTCTACATTTGAATTAATTTTATTTTTTATTTTTAAACTTTATTTTCCTAAATAAATAATTGAAGACCAATTGTTATTAATTGTCAAAGATTAACCTTGGATTTTTTAAAAAATAAATAATAGCAATGCATTAGATTTGAATGTACTCCAAAAAATTTTTTCTTATTTTCCCAACCCTATCAAGAACATTGAAATCGATAGAGGGTATATGAAAAATCAGGATTCTACGAATTCAGATCATGATTTTTTGATCCCTAAAAATCAAAGAAAAAAATGAATGTCATTTTTAGTTTATAATAAAAAGTAAGAAATTTTGATCAAATTCTGCCCAAAATTCTAAATCATCTTATGTAATTCTTCTCCATAAAAATATCTTACGATGGAATGGCAAAATTTTTTTTGCTCGAAAAATTGGGTGAAAAAAATCTTCGTTTTATTAAACCCTTAAAAACGCTGTCTTTATCCTCAGAGATAGTGTAAGGTTAAAAAAAGGAGTATTTAAAGTGGGGGCAGCTGAGCAAGACGAGTAAACCTGGATCAATGTCAACGAATGGGCAAGTAATTTGCCAATTTTCTAAACATCGAAATAAGGGAAATTTATTAAGTCATAAATATTTGTTCACTCGGAATGAGTGTAAGAGAACCCCCAAAAAAAGTTACCGAAAGAATATATTATTAAAAAAATATATCGTATTGAGCTAGCAAACTGGTTCCATTCTCTCAGTACGTGTTTGGCAGTCGATTCGAAGTCGGGAACACCACCTTTACCAATTTTACCGAGCCTTTTAGACAATTCCGTCAAAAATTCGTCTGCATTCTCAAAATTCGGGATATTGTATTTCATGGTAAGCTTTATTTTTCATATTTTAAAAATAAATATAAAAATTAGTAAAATTTTATTTAAAATGATGAATGAAATATTCGTAAATCAGGGTTTAATCAAAAACTATTTTCTAAAAGAGGACCGAACCCGCCCCGGGTTTATCACCCCGGGTTCGATAAGTTGGTTTGGTCTGCGGTATTAAAATGCTCAACTAAACAATTTTTAATTTCTAGACCCGAATTGGGATATAGATACCCTGTCCCAAATATATATCTTTCTAAATAGCTCCAATATATGGTCATTTATTGAAAGTGATATAGCTTAAACATTTGAGTTATCCTTCTCGAGAAAGCTAAGCTAAAAATGATTTGTCTATAGGATCATATGAGCTCTAAATTTTTAAGAAATGATCATTTAATTTAAAATTGAGGCAAAAGATTTCCTTTTATAAAGAAAACGGATACTTATATTTTTATATATATTTTATATCAAATTAAATTTATCAGGTTAAATCCTAAAATGCCTTCCCAGTAAAAACTTCTTCCAAAAAAAAAATATTTTTTAAAGCCCCGGGCCAGCCAGATTTTCTTTAAATAAATTAAAATTATTATAATAAATGTTAGGAAAAAATCAATTAATTAATCGTTTAAAAAATTCATTTACTGCTGACATTTTAAATTTGTAAAAACTAATTAAAAATAGTGAAATTTAATCGCCCAAAAATATTCGTCCTCCACTAATACTTAGTTTTTTTTGCAAATATCACTTCCTGATTATTTTGTTTTTTTTTCACTCCATTCTCACTCAATTTATTCCGGTGAACGGAGCCTATAAAAAAAAACCCATTTAAAATAATTTGCGAGAATTTTAAAAAGCGAAAAAGAGGAAACCGTTACAAATTTCTATTCGCCCTTCTTTCGGCGAACTCCATGTAAGCCTGGCATGGATTTTTAAAAAATTTTTGGCTGAAAAAAGAACGCGTTTAAATTCGAGGAAGGGAGGGTGGTGGTTAACTTTTCTTGAAATTCAGGGCCGAGCTAAAAATTTTGACTTATTAAAGATCTGAAAATAAATAGACTGATAAATATACTTGTTTCTTATCACATTTTGCCAGGATTTGATCAACACATCCGATGGCATCCACTTGATCAAACTAATAAAAATAAAAATGATCAATTTTAATTAATCTAATTTTTTTCTAAATCTGAAAAAAATATATATGCTTGTGGGAATATTGTATATTTCTATAAGATTATCTCTATCACAGAGTTTGAAAAAAATCTTTAGGTTTTTTTATGTGTTAAAAAAAAAATTTGATTTCAATTTGAATACTTTAAGGCTATGTTCTATATTTTTTTTAAAAAACTTTAAAACTTTATAAATTTTCGCAAATGAATAAGGTTATGATATATGCCCAAAATCTTCGATTAAATTTTTTTATAAAAATTTTTGTAAAATCAAGATATTCAAAAGTATTCGATTATGAATGATAAATATATTATGCGACGCAAATATATTATAGTAGAATGTCGATGATTTATAATAAATTAATTATTTAAATGTACGTATGTAAAGGTAAGGGATGTTGCTGGAAAAAAAATAATTTAGCAAAATTATAGTTTAAAGGATAGCAAATTTTTCTAAGGGGAGAGACTGACCCTCAAATACCATCTCTAGTTGACCATAAACACGATTGAATAAATATAAATATAAAGATTTATAAGAATATCAATTATCCTTAAGAAATTACTTTCAAAATATTCTTCAAAAACATGGAATTTGATTGGGCGTCATTGTTATCATCATCGTTGTCGTTATTTGCGTCAGAATTTTGATCATCGCCATTAAACACGACTCCAGGTGTATCGATCAAACTGATATTACTTTGTATTTTGACCGTCTTCAAACACCTTAGAAATTTTAAAAAGAAAGGAGTTTTTAAGTGTTTCTCACAAATTTTTTTTTTATAATATGGCGGTAGTTTTAATACAAATTAGACGCTTTTTTTCTATTTTATCAAATAGGCCTTAAATTTTCAAATTAAAAATAAATTTTTTTTAATATTAGAAATTTAAATAAACCAAAAAATTCAAATTCCCATACACGTAATTAGATTGTTTTGTTTATTATATTATTAGACCTATGGTTTTGTTAATCAAATTAATATATAAATAAAATATATTTCTTCTTTCTTTATATTGTTTTTCTTTCCAATATCGGAAGAAAAAATGGCTCTCGATATGAACCCCTAAGAAACCCTATTCTAACTGCATTTGACAATCTATAACCTTAAGAATGGTATTTTTTTCCCTCAATCACGAAATCAATTTTTATGGTTATAGACTAATTTAATCGAATGCGTTACTTACCTTCTCATCCCTTTAAAGCCTTTAAGATTATATTTGTTTAGATCGGATAACTTTATAAAATAATTTGAAAACCATAATGTACATTTCTTTATCTTCCAAGTTCTGACAAATGATTTCAAATTTTAGTCATATTAATTTCTCCCTTATCATTTATTATTTATAGTATATAAATTAATCAAAATTAATATCTAATTCAAATAAAATAAAAAATAAAATATGATATTAAAACTTGGTAATCCCTGGAACAGAACCAAATTCGCAAACCTTTTTCCTTTTCAAGCTATTTATCACGCTACTTTTCCCGACATTAGGCATACCTTAATAATAAACAGATATAGAAAATATACATTTTTATAATATTAAGTATTATAATAATATTAAACAAAAACAGCCGATTGAACATGTTTCTGCAAGAATTTTGTTCTGAATGATTGTCCATGCTTCTGCAAATTTAAAAAAAAAGAATTTTAGTTCTTATATTTGACTCTTACGAGAACTCAGGGTTCGATTCCCAAATTCTATTAATAACTAATTTAAAAAGCTTTTTATTATAAATGATGACTTTTTTTGAGTGCTCTTCACCTAAAATTCCAAATATTTTTTTTATGAATCCTTGAATGTAAATCTTTTGTAAATTTTATGCATAAAAAATATCTCTAATTTTTTTTGCTAAATATCTTTATAAAAGTTTCGATTTCTAGGAAGTTTACGGGAAGTTCTAAATCAGGTTCTTATAAATTCTAGAAATTTTCGTTTTGGTAGGTATATTCATCCTAGTTCCAAGGTTCCTATTACCGTTACCAAACACTACGTTTCTCAAGTTAAATTCGGAAAACAACAAATGATCACTTATTTATGGCAACAGTTTTTTTATAGATATCACCAAGTTATAATGAACATCTCCTAGTGATCCCTACAAAGAAATGCTCATTCTAAAGATGTGATCATTGATATAGTTAATATTTTTTAATTTTTAATATAACGTTTCATTAAATTTAATGATCATTAATATCGTAATTTAAATTAATCAATAGATAATAACAAATTTTATTATAACTTTAAAATTTTTAAAAAATTTGTTTATTATTATTTTGATCATCATTTCCTTACCAAATAATTTTTCTTAAAAGGTTTCAGAGTTTGAGCATGGTATGCATTCGGTAAAATGTCCTTGAAACCATGGTTTTTTAAAAATAAAATATTTCAAGGTCTCATTTAGCGTTAGCAAGTCTCTAAATATCAATGACAACACACGCTCCAAAAACAAAAAACAATGGCAAATAAAAAATGGCTTATGATTTTTTTTTATAATTATAATTGCGTATACCCACGACTCCTATAACTAGAGAGTTCTTGCCAGCTTTATAATCCTTATTCCGGCAATAATTGGCAAAAAGTTTTACCAAACGTTGTCGACCAAAGGTGGAGCTCAATTGAGGGTTGCACGAATTATCTCCCTGTTGTTTGTGCGTGAATAAATTAATTTTTTGAAGGTTAAATTTAATGATTTTAAAACTTATATTTTATTTATTTCGTATGTATTTTGTATATATGTTAGCGTCAATGTGAATTTTCCGGCAATGTATACCGTGCCGTAATTTTTTCGGCAATATGATGTAGTTGTAGGCAGGATGAATGTGAGATTTCGGCAATGTATTCTATTTTACAAATTAATACATTTATTATTTATTAGAGATTAATTTATTATTTATTTGAGATTAATTTATTATATTATCTTTTTAAATAAATTTTTTGATTGATATTTTTTTTAAAATTTTTTAGATTATATTTTTAATTTGTTATATTATTTTTTTATATATTTTTTGATTGATATTTTTTTTTATTATAATAATTTTTTATGTATTTATTTTTCACGTAAATTTTTTCTTGATATATTTTTTGGTAGCTAAATTTTTTTTTATTTTTTGTGTTATATTATTTTTTTAAATATATTTTTTGATTGATATTTTTTTTAATATATTTTTTAGATTATATTTTTATTTGTTATATTATTTTTTTATATATTTTTTGAGGTATTTTTTTAAAAATATATTTTAGATTATATTTTAATTTGTTATATTATTTTTTTATATATTTTTTGATTGATATTTTTTTTTATTATAATAATTTTTTATGTATTTATTTTTCACGTGAATTTTTTCTTGATATATTTTTTGGTAGCTAAATTTTTTTTTATTTTTTGTGTTATATTATTTTTTTAAATATATTTTTTGATTGATATTTTTATTTGTTATATTATTTTTTTATATATTTTTTGAGGTATTTTTTTAAAAATATATTTTAGATTATATTTTAATTTGTTATATTATTTTTTTATATATTTTTTGATTGATATTTTTTTTTATTTTAATGATTTTTTATGTATTTATTTTTCACGTAAATTTTTTCTTGATATATTTTTTGATAGCTAAATTTTTTTTATTTTTTGTGTTATATTATTTTTTTAAATATATTTTTTGATTGATATTTTTTTTAATATATTTTTTAGATTATATTTTTATTTGTTATATTATTTTTTTATAAATTTTTTGAGGTATTTTTTTAAAAATATATTTTAGATTATATTTTAATTTGTTATATTATTTTTTTATATATTTTTTGATTGATATTTTTTTTTATTTTAATGATTTTTTTATGTATTTATTTTTCACGTAAATTTTTTCTTGATATATTTTTTGATAGCTAAATTTTTTTTTATTTTTTGTGTTATATTATTTTTTTAAATATATTTTTTGATTGATATTTTTTTAAAGATTTTTATATAATTTATTTTTAACGTAAGTTTTTCTATTTTATATCTTTTGATTGCTAATTTTTTAAATGACAAATAGTATAATCGTAATTTTTGAACTTTTTTAAGTAAATTTAAGTGAAGATGTACTATAGAAAAGTTACAATTGTCATAATCGTTATTCTTTTTTGATTTTTTTTAAAGTAACAAAGTAAATATATGTTTAGTAAATGTGTTAAATTAATATTTCAGTGAAGATGTACTATGGAAAAGTGACAATTGTCATAATCGTTATTTTTGAACTTTTTTTGTTTTTTTAAAGTAAATAGGTAAAAATATGTTTAGTAAACGTGTTAAATTAAAATTTTAGTTTAGATATATTTTATATTTTATAGACACTAACAGGAATATTAACAATAAAATTCCTAAATTCGCTATTATTTATATATTGAAAATTAAAGATGAATTATTTTTCTGTAAATCGTCAATGCCTTGATTTGATTAATCTCGAGATTTTATCATGAATACATTAATGACCTCAAATGATAAAAAATTCAACTATCATGATTAAACCTTAATCTTCATAGCCGCCGGAAATGTTTTTTAACATAATTTATAATAGTAGACCGTTGTATAAATAAAAATTTTTAAGATTAATTTATTTTTTTCTAAAATATTAACTGTGAAATATTTAAATATAGAATCCTGCATCGGTTATTTGTATATCAACTAACTATAATATCTTTGACTTATTTATTTCAATTCTGTGAGTAAATATATTTTAAATATTTATTCACTTAAGTGAACTATCTAAAATTACAAGTTAGAGCTATTGAAATGTATATCTATCACTAAATACATTTTCATGAATATATTTATAAACGAAATAAATTTTAGCATTTAACTATGTTGCAATATAGCGTACATTAAATACTATTAGCCCTTATATTTATTACTAAGATTATGAGTCAAACATTATAAGTTCATCTAAGATTTTTTCGAGAAATAAAGGCCTTTGAGTAACTTTTTTTAAACTACATTTTATTGATAAATGCTAGGCTCTCTGTTTGAAGGCCTTTGGCCAGTTATTGTTTTAAATTTTCTTTAGGTTTATACTCTTTTTTTTAAAAAAAATTTCTCACAAATTTTATAAGGTCGTTATTTTTAATATTTTTGTGACATAGTGGTATATTCTTAATTATTTTTAAATAATATTTACCAAATCAGACATATCTGGTAAAATGGGTGGGAATTTTTTTACTTCCCCCTCCCCCCAACTTTATACGCAACTTAATATTATGTTAAAATACATTTTTACGCCATATTATTAATGGATATATAGTAGCAAGCCTTCCCTATAAGAAAAGATTTTATATCTTCATAATAGAAAAAACAATATTTACAATACACATTTTTTATTACTATATAATTCTATATAAATATAAATGAATCATTTATTTTGACATAAATTATTTTTTGTATGACAATGTGAATTGCAGGACACATTAGATGCCTTGCATTTGCATCTATTGGTCCTACAATTTTGTTTGCAATGGCAACGTTTAAAACCTTGCCCAGAGCCTATTGAAGACATGCCAACCATTGTTCTAAAGGTATGACAACTTGGTGGCACATCTCCAACGTTAATAAAGTTTTTTTTTGTTAGGTCAAATTGTGACCTAGCATAATGACCAGATAAATGGCCACGACTTGTTCCTAATTTATAAAATCCATCCGTGCATTTATCCGTAATTACTCCCAATAGCATTTTATGATCCAGTCTCCCCTGATCGACTGGTGGAATTGGCAATAATACGGAATCACCATTTCTCCACGGATAAATGCACGGATGGATTTTATAAATTAGGAACAAGTCGTGGCCATTTATCTGGTCATTATGCTAGGTCACAATTTGACCTAACAAAAAAAAACTTTATTAACGTTGGAGATGTGCCACCAAGTTGTCATACCTTTAGAACAATGGTTGGCATGTCTTCAATAGGCTCTGGGCAAGGTTTTAAACGTTGCCATTGCAAACAAAATTGTAGGACCAATAGATGCAAATGCAAGGCATCTAATGTGTCCTGCAATTCACATTGTCATACAAAAAATAATTTATGTCAAAATAAATGATTCATTTATATTTATATAGAATTATATAGTAATAAAAAATGTGTATTGTAAATATTGTTTTTTCTATTATGAAGATATAAAATCTTTTCTTATAGGGAAGGCTTGCTACTATATATCCATTAATAATATGGCGTAAAAATGTATTTTAACATAATATTAAGTTGCGTATAAAGTTGGGGGGAGGGGGAAGTAAAAAAATTCCCACCCATTTTACCAGATATGTCTGATTTGGTAAATATTATTTAAAAATAATTAAGAATATACCACTATGTCACAAAAATATTAAAAATAACGACCTTATAAAATTTGTGAGAAATTTTTTTTAAAAAAAAGAGTATAAACCTAAAGAAAATTTAAAACAATAACTGGCCAAAGGCCTTCAAACAGAGAGCCTAGCATTTATCAATAAAATGTAGTTTAAAAAAAGTTACTCAAAGGCCTTTATTTCTCGAAAAAATCTTAGATGAACTTATAATGTTTGACGCATAATCTTAGTAATAAATATAAGGGCTAATAGTATTTAATGTACGCTATATTGCAACATAGTTAAATGCTAAAATTTATTTCGTTTATAAATATATTCATGAAAATGTATTTAGTGATAGATATACATTTCAATAGCTCTAACTTGTAATTTTAGATAGTTCACTTAAGTGAATAAATATTTAAAATATATTTACTCACAGAATTGAAATAAATAAGTCAAAGATATTATAGTTAGTTGATATACAAATAACCGATGCAGGATTCTATATTTAAATATTTCACAGTTAATATTTTAGAAAAAAATAAATTAATCTTAAAAATTTTTATTTATACAACGGTCTACTATTATAAATTATGTTAAAAAACATTTCCGGCGGCTATGAAGATTAAGGTTTAATCATGATAGTTGAATTTTTTATCATTTGAGGTCATTAATGTATTCATGATAAAATCTCGAGATTAATCAAATCAAGGCATTGACGATTTACAGAAAAATAATTCATCTTTAATTTTCAATATATAAATAATAGCGAATTTAGGAATTTTATTGTTAATATTCCTGTTAGTGTCTATAAAATATAAAATATATCTAAACTAAAATTTTAATTTAACACGTTTACTAAACATATTTTTACCTATTTACTTAAAAAAAACAAAAAAAAGTTCAAAAATAACGATTATGACAATTGTCACTTTGCCATAGTACATTTTCACTGAAATATTAATTTAACACGTCTACAAAACATATTTTTACCTATTTACTTTAAAAAACTAAAAAATGTTCAAAAATAACATTATGACTATTGTCACTTTTCCATAGTACATCTTCACTGAAATATTAATTTAACACGTTTACTAAACATATATTTACTTTGTTACTTTAAAAAAACTCAAAAAAGAATAACGATTATGACAATTGTAACTTTTCTATAGTACATCTTCACTTAAATTTACTTAAAAAAGTTCAAAAATTACGATTATACCATTTGTCACTTTTACCTAAAAAATTAGCAATCAAAAGATATAAAATAGAAAAAATTACGTTAAAAATAAATTATATAAAAATCATTTAAAAAAATATCAATCAAAAAATATATTTAAAAAAATTATGACAAATTAAAATATACTATCTCTAAAAAAAATATCAATCAAAAAATATATTTAAATAAATAATATAACACAAATAAAAAAAAATTTAGCTATCAAAATATATATCAAGAAAAAATTTACGTGAAAAATAAATACATAAAAAATAAATACATAAAAATCATTATATTTAAAAAAAATATCAATCAAAAAATATATTTCATAAAACAATATAACAAATTAAAATAAAATCTAAAAAATATTTAAAAAAAATATCAATCAAAAAATATATTTAAAAAAATAATATAAGATAAAAAATAAAAATAAATTTAGCTATCAAAAAATATATCAAGAAAAAATTTACGTGAAAAATAAATTCTATTTCATAAAATAATATAACAAATTAAAATATAATCTAAAAAATATTTAATAAAAAATATCAATCAAAAAATATATTTAAAAAAATATATCAAGAAAAAATTTAGCTGTCAAATATATCAAGAAAAAATTTACGTGAAAAATAAATACATAAAAATCATATCAAAAAATATATTTCATAAAATAATATAACAAATTAAAATAATATAACTAATTAAAATATAATCTAAAAATATTTTTAAAAAAAATATCAATCAAAATATATTTAAAAAAATAATATAACACAATAAATAAAAAAAAATTTAGCTATCAAAAAATATATCAAGAAAAATTTACACGAAAAATAAATATATAAAAAATCATTATATTAAAAAAAAATATCAATCAAAAAATATATTTCAAAAAATAATATAACAAATTAAAATATATTATCTAAAAAATATATTTAAAAAAAATATCAATCAAAAAATATATATAAATAACAAATTAAAATATATTACCTCTAAAAATTTATTTAATATATAACACAAAAAATAAAAAAAAATTTAACTATCAAATGATATATCAAGAAAAAATCTACGTAAAAAATAAATATATAAAAAAATTATCATATTAAAAAAAATATCAATCAAAAATGAAAAATTAAAATATCAGAAAAAAAATACATATACAAAAAATGATCCTATAAAATATTATATTTTAAAAATATCATATTAAATCTAAAAAATAATGTTATAAATTATAAAGAAAAATATTAATCTTAAAAAATTATTAATAATAAAGACAAAATTATTAATAATATAATATTACAAAAATAACACATTGCCTAATTTAACCAGGCAATGTTCACATTGCCGAAATCTCACATTCATCCTGCCTACAACTACATCATATTGCCGAAAAAATTACGGCAATGTATACATTGCCGGAAAATTCACATTGACGCTAACATATATATATATGAATATATAAAAGTGATTATATTCCTGCAATACAGAGATTTTCAAAAAAAAACCTAATCTACATTAAACAACATCCAATTATTATTTTAAATGAGATAAAATCCATTCATTTTTTAAAAAAAATATATACTTATTAGTGAAATCGTGTAGTCCCCTCCGATCTACTATATATATCTCCCCTTCCCAGGAAGAAACTAACAAGTTGGTTCCTGAAAAAAAAATATATATGATCCTTGCTAGATTCGAATCCAGAACCTTTGCGTTGAAAAAAAGGGGCTTTTATCGACTAAGCCACAGTCACTTTCCAAAAATTATGACTCTTGAAATATATATATTACAAGGAAATTGTGGCAGTCTCTATCATAGACCAAAAAAAAATGAAGGTCCAATAGTCGTGTTGTTTTTAAATAAATATTGCATATATTAAATTAAATCGATAAGTATCCTACCAATCTATCATTTTGCGTTTGCGTAGAGGCTTTGAAGGGTATCGTGGGAGCGAGCGTTTTGAGGTATTTGACCCAATCATCGCTTAAATCTCGAGAAATCAAATCTAAAATTCGAATGATAATAACAAAGATTAAGTCATTTGAGTTAATTAAGCTTGTTTTTTGTGGTTGTAAAAAATTTTAAAGCATAAAAAAAAACAAAGTAGAAAACGTAAGAAAATGAAGAATATTTTTACTGGACTTGAATAATAAGATTTATTAATTAATTGTAGTAAATTTAATACAACTAAAAATAATTATAATATTGATAATGTAGGGATTTTAAGGATCGAGTTAGATAAAAAAAAATAAAGATTATAATGATGGTAAGAAGCAGTTTGTAAATGTTAAATAGAAGTTACGATAAAGTAAAGTGAGGGTAACAAATTTGTTTATTGATAAGAAGAAGGCCCAAATTGAGATTAGGAGTAGCTGATAACTTTTCATAGTGATATTTCAAATTGAATAAAACTAATATTAGCACATTGTTAAAGTGAATTATTCTAACAGATGTATAATCAGTGGAAGTATAATTAGGTAAATATAAAAATTTTAATTAGTTGATTGAGATATTTCAAAATACTTCTTTTTTTTTAAATTATTTTTTTTAAAGATTTTATATTATATTTTCTAATTTAAATATCATAATTTTAATAAATGGATGATAATATAAAAAATAGCATAGTTGTTTTTTACAGCCTTACTTTAATTTATAAATTATAACACATTGAGGTATTATTAAGCCAACAAAATTCTCATAATCAATGAAACTTATATTCATCATTTATATTATTGCATGTTTAACTTTGTAATGAGGCTAATTTCTAAACAAAATTATAGAAATGGAGATAAAAAAATAAAATTTATGTTATTTTTAAATAAACTTATGTTTTTTAACAGTGCATCTCACAAATTCTATTTGACTAAAATATAATTAGGCATGTACTGATACTATTTGCTGGAGGCCAATCCGATATTAATTTGATATTGGCCATAGTCATTTAAATATATTATAAGGATTAGTTATAGTTTTATAAAACATTTTTATTATAAATTACTTATTGTATAATAAATTTTTTAAAAATTGAGACCACATGTTATTGGATCGGATAGGGAAATTTTATTACATTGGTTCATAACAAATATTTAAAAAAAGATGAAATATTAGCCCAACCAGAACTGATAAAAAATATTGGTATATCCCTGAATATAATATTTTAAAAATACAATATTTGCAAATCAAAAAGTAAAATTAATTAGGAGCTAACTCATGGAATAAATATAGAAATAGAGATGAATATGTATAAATATTTGATAGCTAAGAAAAAGAATTGGTGAATACTGATTTTTTTTATTGGGTAAAATAAATGATTACCTATTTTATTAAGTAATATTATCAAACGTTTGTTTTCACGTTGAAATTCAGGTATAACATTTTTTAAATCAAAACAACAAGTGCCCATTGGATCTCTGGCATCCAAAACCAATAATAAAACATTCGCTTCTCCTATAACCTGAATATATGATGGTTTAATTTTTACCATAAAATAAGCTTATAATAAAATTATTGTAATAAGTTATGAAACATAAATAATATTTTGAAACAAATGGAAATATTTGACTTGCCTGTTTTAATATTCCTCTAAAATTTTTAAAATTGGTTGAACATTTTTTAAAATTAATGTTTTCAACAAAAATTTCCTTTTCTGTGTTAGCCCCTTGATAATCATTTACATGTTTTGAATGCTTTGCTAATTTTTTTTCTTTCATTTTTTGTTTCTTTTCCAATAATTTCTGAAATCAAATAAGTAATACAATAATAAAAACTGTATAAACTTGATTTTTTAATTCAATGGCATGGTTTAGGAGTTCATTTTTAAATGGAAATGAATTTGGAATATTAAAGGTTTCTTTTCTTTTATCTAATCATTTAATAAAAAAAAATATAAATAATAACTTTATATATCACTTGATTTTGAAGTTTTATTTTTTTGCAATTTTTTAATTTTTTTATTATGTTCGCTAACCTTTAATAAATGATTTCATTTAGTTTTACATAAATATAATTTGCCTTATGACGAATTTTATATTTGGTACTACAAGAGACTCTTTTACTTTGCTTTCCTAGAATTGTAAAATTAGTATTTTATTTTAGTATAATTAATAATACTAAAAAACTTCTTGACCATTGCTAATATATATAAAAAATAACGAGATTACTAATAAGTGTTTAGATTTAATCGAATGTCAATCATAATAAAATAAATAAATTTATACGAGGGGACATAATTTTAGAAAAAAAATTGATGTATTCATTAGCAAATTTCTTCGATTTCTATCATTTTGTTAATTGAAAAAACTATAATTGTGGATTTATAAGGATTGTAAAAAAAAGAACGAACAACCCTTACTCTCAACCCTGTCAATACTTAATCTGAAAGTAAATTACAGTTGTTTCCTTTGTCGTATTTTTTATTAATAATTTTCAATACTTCCAAAAATATTAAAAAGACTATACGATAATTTCATAATAATATTTCTCTTATAAAAAAAAATCATAATTTTTAAATTAATATTTATTTTCCGAAATAATTTAATAATTTTTTCTTCATTAAAAATTTAAAAAAAAAAAATCATTGAAAATTTTTCATAATCAAAATAATGGCGTTCTTTACAATTCTGTTTTACAAAAAAAAAAAATATAAACGTCACGTGTTATTCAAAATTAAATGCTATCCAATCAACCTTATTTAAATCAGTTGATTGGCATTATGTAATATTAATATATTAATATATGTAAAAATAAGACAAGGATAAAATATAATTTTACTTTAACAGAATGAAAAGATCAAACAATAATTTAACTTTAACAATAATATGTTTATATCTTCATCGAAATTATATTTACAATCAATTATCATAAATTGTATCCTTAAACAAAATATAATTTATTTAAAGTTAATACATTACAGCTAGAGTTGTATTTACATTATGTTTTATATTGTCCAAATCTTTCATTATTGCTATGGGTATTTCCTTAGCTTGTAGATATGTATCCCTCAGTTAGTCGGCATGCTTATATTTTACAATACCCTCAGACTCAACATCATGCATTATCACACTTTACTGTTGAACCACTTCCCCTTCATGCCATTCCGCAGTCATACCCGAAAATCAAATGGGTTTGCTGAGCGCTATATGATAAAGACGCATTTCTATGATATGAGGCTCCGGACCATTTAAATTTAGCAAATGTATTAATTAGTCACCGAAATACTCCAAATTCAACTACTGGTAAATCGATAATGATGTTTAGAGGGCCGCTCAGGATGACATTAGATCAATGGAAGGAAACTATTTACGAGTGAAATGACTAAAAACGCATTATGGAAGCTAAAATATATAATAAGAACTTTGAGTCCCATGAATTTAAAGATAAGCAAATGTTTTGGGTAGAAAACGAAATAAGGGTCTGATCTAAAATGTTTTTAAAAAGACACATGAATTCAGATCCAAAAAATTGAGTATTATCTGAAACAATGTAACGAGGTAACCCATATCTATCAAAATAATTACACAGATTATTTATTACACTGGTCGAATTAATATGTGTTAAAATTGCAACTTCAACCCGGTGTGTAAGTGTGTCTACGCAAACAATACTTTCCAAATATGCGGTCTGATAAATCAATGTGCGTTCATTCACAAGGTCAGGTAATGTTCAGATTGTACAACAGCAATTCAATGACTCCCAGTCTTCCTTCCTAACAACTCTAGCAGTATTTAACGAAATCTTCAACATAACTATCAAAATTTACCAAACAATAGTATCTACATAATGATTTTATCTCCGCTATCCCAAGATGTCCCTGATACATTCAAGACCTCTTTGTTAGATTATCTGTTAATAATCCCATCATTATAAAATAATAATCCTTCTTCGAATATTATTTTTAATTATAATAATTTTTTTTTAACTCCGAATAATTATCAATACACCAATGATTTTTAATTAATTTAATTTGAGATTGAAACCTTTGATCGTTTCACTTAAGACTTTATTACGTGTGAAAGCTAAATCTTCTATTAAATTAATTTTTAATTCTCTGATATCATCTCCGAATTTTTTTGTAACCTCATTGGTTTTGGCTCTATTAACCTCAAACGGGACAGAAAGTCGGCACCTTTGTTTTAAATACTAGGTCTATTAATTATCTCATAGTCGTAATTTAATAGCTTCGTCGCACACCTTTAAACGGTTATTTGTTATTTTGGCCTCTTTTATAATTTAAGATATATTTTAAAAGTTTGTGATCTGTAACCAAAATAAAATATCTTCCATAAATATATAGATGGAACATTTCAAAAACGAACATGTTCGCCGAAGCTTCCCGATCAATGGTGGCGTTGATATGTAAGTAAAGAATGATGGGGTATGCAGTTAGTTTTTAAAATCAATTTTTTTTTTATAGATCAAAAAATTTAATAATGTTTTTATATTTTAAAAATAGTATATATATTTATATATATATTTACTAAATAAAATTAGAATAATATAATAAAATTACAAGGTTTTTATATACGCAAATATGGATATTCAAAATAGTGCGAATGCATGATATTTAATTTATAATACTATTTAATGATCAAATATATACACAATATTTTAATTTGTATATAATAGCAAGCAATAGGTTTCTCCTGATTAGTGTTGTATGATACAACTTACATTATGTATTTAAAGTGGTGTTTTTAATTACATTTACGTTTTATTTTACTTTTTGACAAATGTTTCACTTAAGGCGAAAAGAAGATATATTTAGATTGTAATAATATATTAAAGGTTGTTAATTGTATAACGTGATTGGAAACAATTGATTTACGAAATATATAAAGAATGATTATTTTTGATATATACACAGATAAAATTTATTCATTTTATTTCATTCTTGATAAATACGTTAAATAAAGACGATATTTCCTCTTATATTTAAATTATTCAAATTGAACAATGTTAGTAAGAAATCGGTGTGCAATAATAGGTCCTAGACCAACTTCGGAAACCACAAGAAATCACGACAGGAATATCGGCTGAATAATGAATTATTGTATCCACTTTTGATAATATATTTTTAATCTTAATAAATATTTCATTTTCTTGTGGTGACTACTAGTATATACGACTCATGGTAATTCACCATGAATTCCTAATTCGTCGACTTTTCTATAATAAATTTTAACGGTCGTCGTTGTCAGTCATGCCTTATCAAATTTTCTTAATATTTCTTCTAAATTAACTACCTGATCAAAACTATTGCCAGCAATTATTAAATCGTTTATCAAAACACTAACCATAGGAATTCCCTTTAATAGGTTTTACATAAAGTGCTGAAATATTATCGCAGTGCTCGCTCCTAAAAGATATTTTTAGGTATCGGTAATAACCGACATTAGTCGAAGTTACTAAAAGGCCACTACATTCTGGACTAACTTCGATTTTGATATTGTTCACTAGTTAATATGCAAGCGATATTGATAATCTGCCATCCAGGCAACTTTATCTATCACATTACACGCATCATCGGTATCAAATTCCATCGTAAACTGCAAACCATTTATCTTCAAATCAATGGTAGCTTTATTAGGAAACGACAAGCGAGGTGTCCATGGTGGAATCACCTGTATTGCATGAGCTCATCTTTTGCTGTGTGGTTTGCCTTGCCATATCAAAAGCATATACTTATTTTGGTATGAAGCTAGGTTTAGAACTAGATTTATTTAGGAATATGATTATTATAATTAATTTGAAAACGGGTATCCGGGTATGAATCAATGTTGTCAAGATCTAACATGTCTGATGTTAAATCTATTGTACTTAGACATTTTTTTGATCTTCCTCGAATTCAAATTCAACCTCTGCAGTTTTATATCTTAGAGTAATAATTTATTCAACCTCTGCAGTTTTATATCTTAGAACAGTAATAATTTCTCTAATTCTTTTGTAAAAAAATTTCTAGACTATGGATTTTTAATTATCCAGAGTTAGGATACTAAAATTATTTATAGAATTATTAAATGTAGATACATCCATTTTAAAAATATGTAAAATTATGCTAACTTTTAAAATTTTAGATTTTTGATTGATTGAATTCTATAATGACGTCAATATAGTTATGATTTTAAAATTGTAGAAAATAAAAATTCATCAAAATCCTGATTGACATTAAAAAAAATTACAAAAGTGATGTTGACCAATTATTAGAATAAAAAGGTATGAAATATGAAAGAAATTTCTGAGCCGGCCGTGCGCCGCGATATGAAAATCGGCAGCGCGCCGGCGTGATTTTCTTAAACGGCGGCATTTTCGGCCTAACTAAAAAAGGTCGGCTGCTAGCCAACGGCCGGCCGGCGCACAGGTCTATAGCATTATGTCATTTGAAAGTTTGGAAAAATAATATAACTTATAAATAATGTTAATGACTTTAAGCCCCATTGGATAACATTTTCGAAGGCTAGCCTTGGATTATTTTTAAAGAGCAATCTGGGTTCAAAAAAGGTCAGATTAAGATTTTAGCCAAAAATAATATTATGAGCCTGGAGATTTAGCAAGGATTAAGGTTTATTTGCCGAATCTCGAGGCTTACATAATTTTGTATTGGCCTAATATCTTACACGGGTGGTTTTTATCTACCTAAATAGGAATATTTATCAACGCTGGTTTATTTAAGTCCATCCATATTTGTTTAAGGCATTTGATTTGTACGAAAATGAAAAGGAAGTTCTCAAAATTGCGACTAACCAAAATTTTCTTATCGGCTACCATGCCTGTTTCGAAACACCCAATAAGTATATTTAATTTTTTGTTAATTATTAAATTATTTAGGATATAAATTTATGAGGATGAGACAGGAATAGATAAGGCATTTTTTTTAAATTAGTTTTAACAAAATTAATACTTAAAATTTTATCGTAAATTGTAATATTGTAGTTACATCATAGCTATGGATTACGCATGCGGTGGAGATTTGGATAATCTTATAAAATATTTGGGTAGAATTCCAGAAGAGTCCGTTAAATTCTATGTAGCGGAGTTGGTTGGGGTATCATTCCTACATTCCAAAGGTTTTACATTTTCGGGAAGATATGTATTTAATTTTAAATTGCCAGTTTATATAAATTCTTGATTAAATCATTTTTTTTTAGCAAATAAAAATGTTGGCTTCATATACATACCAACAAAATTTGTATTATATTTTTATTTTATATTTCAGGGATCTTCCATAGAGACCTCAAACCAGAGAATGTAATGCTAGATAAGGATGGCCATATACGAATAACAGATTACGGTCTTTGCAAAGTAACTTTTTCTTACATGAATTTATGAGTTTTACCAAAAAATGCAACAATTTAAGTTCATAACGAACAAAATCTCATGATACAAACTCAAAGCATAGTTTTATACAGAATTAACTTATCGGAAATATATTCCTTCTTGCAAGCACTAATATTGTGAAAATTAAAATTACAATGAGATTTATTTAACAAAATAACTACGTTCTTTACTTTTACATATATATAATTTTTGGATAATTACTTAATCTAGAGAGATTTAAGTTACGGCGAAAAAACCAAAGAGAGGGTGGGTACACTGGACTATGTAGCGCCTGAAATCTGGCGGGGTAAAAGTTATGGTAAATATTTTTTGATTTTTTATCTCCCATAATTCAATAAATATTTTATATCGTTTTTTTAATATTACTTTACAAATAATGTTACATATTTAACATAATAGAGGGATGTATAATTTTTTTTTTGTTATTCTTAATATAACTGTTTCTTGTGTTTATTTTCCTTTATAATATAGTCAATATTTCTAATATACCTAATCGAACGTTTTCTTGATTATCGTAGGCAGACCTATGATTGTTTCGACATAGTAAATTAGAGCACTTTGTATAGAGATACATATTTATTTCCAAGATTTTTTTACATGATATGTAGAAATTCAAATTAAGATATAGCGATTTGTGTGTATAAAATTAAGGAAAGTGTAAATCCTATATTTTTAATATGACAATTTTTTTTAAAAATTATAAAGCATATTGGTAAATGCAATTTAAAAGGCATATTTATAAAAATGATAGGATGTTTTATTGGTGTTTATTTCGTGAAACTATAATATGAGAAAGATTTGACTTTTGAAATTTTTAATTTTTATAACAATAATAAAGGGATTTATTACTTTTGAAAAAAAATACGTAAATAATTTAATTTTGGAGAGAGTGGTGAGGATTCAATCACTTCACAATGTGTGGAAAAGGTAATCATCATAATAAAATAGCTGGAACTTTAATTCCCACCCCTAATACACCACTCCACATCAAAAGGTACATTTGGACCAAGAATCAATTTTTCTACAAATTAATTTAGAATTTATAAACTAATAATTATTTTAAGTAGCTTATACTTTGGAATTCATATTTTATCCATATAAGTTCAATATATAGAATTTATTCAGATTTGAACAAAAATTGTCTCTGAACTACTTACGTCTCCTAAACATATTCAAAATGATCGCAATGTATATTATATATTTAAATAATAAAAAAAACATGAAAGATTTTAGGGTTGATATCTGGGCTCTTGGAGTAACTATGTATAAAATGCTTACAGGACGAAAGCCTTTCAATTTGCCTCTAAAGCAAAATCCTTGGCAAAGTATCAGTTTGTTTTCTACTAACACTTTATTTCTTATAAATAATGGGAACAAAATTTTTAATGGTCTACTTAACACCCTAAGAGAGCATATAAGTGCAAAATATTCTATAAACTGGATGGTAAGGCTGAATTTATAAATTAATATTAATTTCAAAAAATAGTTCCCATTTTAAAAGATTTTATAAAACTCGATCAGCTGTTAAGTCCATTTATGTCAACTAAAGAAAATTAAGTAATAAATTTTAAAAAAATTTATCTTATTTATCATTTTAAAATCATATTTACAAAAAATCAATGCAAAAGCTTTTAAATAAGATATTGTTAGACCGGGGTTACATGGTCAATATTTCAAATTGGGGTAGAAATTAAAGTTTTTGTTTTGAAGGAGGAATTTTAAAATTACAGATGATTTTTAATTACGGGAGTTTTGCTTAAGGGAGGTCTGTGCGTGTTTTCCAAAAAATCGCGGAAGTCTCCCGCTGATAGAGAGAGCCTTGGCCACCCAAATTTTTGTCGTTAATTTAAATACAACCTTAATAAATTTTATCCAATTTACCATTATTATAATTTATAAAATTTAAAACAAAACTTTTTTTTTATAATAGGATTAATAGGTAAAAAAGCAATAGTCCGTATTCCAGATTCAATATCTGATGAGGCTTGCCAAGTTTTGCAGAAATTTCTAGCCAAACTTTGATATAATGAATATAATAATTATGCATGCATTTTTTTAAATATAAATATATTACATTCATTATAGAAAATGGAGAACAGGCTGGGATCCAATCCCAGCACCACCATCCATTCCATTGCCTCCCTGCGCTTCTTCAGTTCTATCGATTGGAAATTGGTAACAAAAATATCTCTAAACTCTTTTAAATAGAATTTCTTTTACAGTTACTTCTATTTATGCATCAAACATTTCTGGAAGATTTAAATTGACAAAATAACCTATTCCATTTTATATTATAGCTCGAAGCCAGGAGAGTGCAACCACCTTACAAACCTATACTTCCACCCTAAGACCGGCCTTCGTCCACGCTAGTTAGAGTGATGACCAGAAAACTCGAGTAAATCTATATTAAGAAAATTTGAGAAATTCAGTTATATTTATATGCGTAGTTTTAATGACAAAGGTTATAATAAACATTTCATGAGAAATTTTATACATCCGATAATTATTTATAAGTATTGAAATAATTTGTAGTGTATCGCAAAATTTATTGGTATGATTTGTTTTAACAAAGTAAACTATTAATGTTAATTTCAGAATTACTTTAAAAATTTTCTAGGAGATCTAAGCACATTTTTTTGGTTTTCGCTATATCCAACTTTTCACCAAATATTGATCATCGCAATCATATAAGATGACGAATTATCTTCATAGTTCACGGTGTCTTTTTTAAGAGTATCTTTCAAAAGAAAGCATATATATTAAAGACTTGCGGATGAGTCGAGAATGGGATAAAAATGGTAAGATTTTTAAAAAAATCCTGTTTAGAGTTAAAGATTTAAAAATTCTGGATGGACCGTTATAAATTAATTATGCCAATTAATAAGTATGTTGGATAAAAACACTTGTACAATGGAGTGTTTAATATTCATATATTTTTCATTTTCAATTCTTCGAAACAGTCTACAAAACGGTGCCAAAATTATACTAATATTTTTAAAAAAATGAAATGATAAAAAATAATTAGGGGAGACTGGGGATAGTGTGTTCTCAGGGCAGTTATTTTCCTTATCAAATAATTTAAAAAATATAAACTTTGAAATTTAGGCAAAATTATATATTTTAATAAGGTGCTTAAGTATTAGGTCTAAAGATATTTTGGACAATATTGTTCATAAAAAATTTTAAATAAAAATTTAAATTTTTACATACCAAAAAGTATATTTTTTTAAATTTTAAATTTTCGCTAATAAATTTTTTTAGAAATTTTAAATGATAAAAAAAAATCTCCATTATATCATATATTAAAATTCTGACAAATATTTATGATAATTAAGACCTGGAGCAGGTTTGGGTTACAATATGTTCTTCTGGGGGATATGTATAATAAAGGTGAACTTAATTAAATTTAACATATTTGACAATTTATTCTTATTTATTTACTTAGAATTAGTAATATTATTTAAAGAATTTCTTAAAATCTACAGTTAAAGAAACGCGACATGCAACGCAAAAGGATAATAGGTACTCCCGATGTTTTTCATAATTCTTAAATTTTTATTTTTTTAAAAAAATTCTTATTAATTACTAAAAGATTTTTTTATTTAATAGTAATATCTAACGTAGAAATCTATGTATAAAACTATGTTTAAACATTTTGGGAAATTTGTTTCTTAAATTTTTTATAGCACTTCAATTTTTTATGGATAAAATAACCATGGTCTCCTTAAGTAATTTTTTTCCTTATAAATTAAAGTGACTTCTAATTTTATTTTTAAATTATAACTCATAACACTCCTACTTTATCATTTTATCATTATATATATATAATAATAATAAACGATAATAAATGGATTATAAATCTAGTTAAGATGTGCCATGATTGACCATGTTTTTGCTCTTTTTACATAAAAGCATTGAGTTTATTTAACAAACAAATTATATATTAATTTTTAGCTCAATTCTTAATCTTTAAAATAAAATTTGAATTAAAGCTCAAACTTTAATAGTTTATGAGCTAAATGAAATCATATGTTCAGGCCAGTCAAAATATGATATGTAAAGACTGAACATATAATAAGTGTTAACCAGCCCTGATAATTCATTATTTAATAATTCTATTATAAATATGAAATATTACAAAAGAAATACTTGTGAAAGACCTATGTTAATATTTCATCATTTTTAGGTTTATAAAAAATTAATTATTATTAACATGTCAATTTATCATTATCTTTTTAATGATAATATTAATTGAAATATCAATAAATAAAAAATAATATTGAGAGAATGAAGGTCAAAATTTTCCTCCAGCTCATATTTAAAAAAATATATATACATCAGTTTGCATTTCTTGATATTCTTATTAGGCTCGTACTTTATATTCTTTTAATCATTCTTTTAAAGAAAGAAACTGAAACATGTATTTTAATTATAAGTCTGTAAATCTGTAAATTATTAAAATATATGAAGGTCTTATAAAGAAATGTTCAGGTTTTAAGGGCCTCAATAATTTTGAACCAATCAATGATGAGATATCATCCGTTTTTTTTAAAATTATTTTATACTAATTTCAAAAGCATGTTCTAATTTGTTTGGTAAATAAAATATATTTAGAAAATAATTTTAAAAAATAATACTATTAACTTTAAAGCGACTTTATTTATGCATTTTATGGATATCATTTATATTTGTGTTGTATCTATAACTTTTAAAAATAAAATGTTATTATCTACTAATAGCTGTAACTTTAATGTCAAAGTTGGATGTAAAGTTATAAAGATCCACAATTTCCTCAGTCCAGGAGCTCTGGATAGAAATTCTGAAGTTGGGGGAAGACAATTGTTAGAATTATGCCGTAAGCTAATCTTCGTGTATCTAGTACCTTCTTCGAACATCTGGACTTCAGAGAAATATACTCTTAATATAGCCCATCATATAACAATTGACTATTTCAACTGTACTAGGTCGATAATTGATTAGATCAAAAATATTTAAGTTCTTTATCTGGTAGTGTTTAACTCAGACCACAAACTCCTTTCTTGTTATATGGTGATCGATCCGAAGGTATAAGAAGAAAATAATACTGGCAAGTGTAATGGAAAGAAATGCAAATTACATATTAATGCTCTATGAGATCAAAACATAAAGGATGAATTCATTAAATATATAAGAGAAAATTTCCTAAGTATAAAGGACTCAGTTGACACTCAATCCTCTACTTAATTTGGTAAAATACTTGCGATATTTTTACAGAGGCGGTGACCGTTTCCTTGCCAAGAAAAGGTGGATTCCCTGAGTGGATTTCTACCGAATCAAGGAATCTGATTGTTAGTCTCGTGGGATCAGGATATTACAAGAAAAATAGAGCGAAGTACATATTAGATGATATTAGTCACAAACATTTAAGAGATACGAGGATTCAAATGACACTTATAAAGTTTCAAACTATTAAAATCATTTACCTTCAAGAAGGTCATTATTATAATATCAGGCATGATAACAAAACGATTATTGATCTTATTTCTATAGCAAATAATTTTGACGAAAATAAGAAATACATAGGTTATTTTACTGGGGTATTTTTTCCCAGTATTAATTTGAACTTCAGCATTTTATATTGTTTATGCATTTTTTATGGAAGGGTATATTAGTAATCTTTAAATAATGAATTGGGGCCTAAAGAAATTTAGCTGATTAATTTGTTATATTTTTATAATATTCTTTTCTAAAATACTAATTTATCAATACATTATATCTAATTTTTTAAATCATATATTTTTTCATAAAGGTATTTCACGGACATCTCAACTCATTCCATAAATCTATCAAAAATAGCTTACGTTATCTCTATATTATTAAAAATCACGAAATGCCACCCTATATAAATTAATTGGTGCTAATAGTTAGATTACATTTTGTAAACTATATATGGATCTGATTAAACAAATAAGAATTAGTTTCTCGAGATTATAATCTCTGATTATCTTATTTAAAATTTGGTAAGAGTAATTGTCCTTTTTATTTTCGCATCACTATTTACGTAGGTTTGCCCTATCCTTAAACCCCCTCCCTTCACTATCCCTGTGGATTTGGTCATACCTACATTCGTCTATTTTTATGTTTTTTAAACCTTTTATAAATCGTATTTTATTTTATATAATTCTATCTATTATTATAATTTTATCCACATGTAATATAAAACAACCCTAAAAGCGTACATTATTAGGTAAAATAAATTCATCATATTATATTATTAGTCGTAGTAATGTTACGGCAAAGAGGGCATATTCCACCTTCTATCTTTTATTGGCACAGTATATTTCACTTCCTTCACGATCTCTTCGATCAACTAGTAATTGACTAGCAACTAATTGTGGATCTGCACTCCCTATGATCAAATATAAAGGTGTTTGTAAAAGTATATAATATTTTTAATGACAAATTTAAATTTTTTTTATATTATACAATTAAATTTTCTACAACTCAATGTATATTTTTATTATAAATCTTTGATCATATGTTTAGAATCTTTCTAAATTTTTTGTTAAAAAAGTAAATGTATTTGTTAAATTTTTAACTATTCTATATTTTTCCTGAACTTTTACTTTAGTTTTTTTATTCATTTCATTAATCGCTTCTATACCTTTTGGATATTGAATAACAACTTACAATTTTTAGGATCTTGTTAAAATTCATAGATTCCCAAGTGTAAAAAAAAATGAGTTCTTGGTAATATTATTTTTTTTTTAAATTTTATGTAATCTTAAAAACTATTAATAATTTTATAACAATTTAAACCTTCCAATTACCTTTAGAATTAAAAATTTTCAATTATCTTAACAAATTTTATATTCAGATTAACTGTTTATTTTTAAAATTATAAATAACTTTTCTTTTTCGATACACGTATTTGACACTATGGATTCCATATCCCAACATGATGACATGTATAATAAAAAAGGAAACTAAGAATTGAAAATTATTGAAAAGTTAATTGTTAAGGTGATTTTTTTTTGCCATATTTGTACGCAACCGACATATACCATTTTCTCTGTCAAAATTTGTAATTTAAGATGAAAAAATCTGACGATTTAGGCTGAAAAAATATTTCAATCATCCATCGTAAAATTATACTTCATTTTATAAAAATAACCCATTTATTTGACCTTGTATACAGAATCGACATCTACGTTTTTAGGGGTCAGGATTGCATTTTGAGCAAATGATATTCGGTTAAATATTGTCTTTGTCTACATCGTAACAAAAGCAATAAAATCCTCGATATCATTGGAAGCTATACAACAATCTTCAGGAATTTATATTTTATCCCTGGAGCCATCAAATGTTT